CCAGCAGATGCGAGCAATATTTCTAAGGCATCTGTGGTCAAATACTAGTAACCTACGAGTATCTTCTACTCTTAATGGCCATGTTTCACAGCCGTAAAGTAGGACAGAGCGAACTGCTGCGCAGTATACTCGTCCCTTAATTGATAGACGGATATCTCGTCTACGCCATAGGTGACGTAAGTTGGCAAAAGCCAAACGAGCTTTTTGAATCCGTGCTGAGATTTCGTCTGACACCAACCCATTAGGGCTGATCAGACTTCCAAGATAAGTGAAGTTGTCGACGCGTTCGACTACTTCACTCCCTATCCTTAGTTCGAGTGTTGACGCAGGCCAGTCCTGGAGTAACAATTTACATTTGGATGGGGAGAATCGCATCCCAAACATCCTGGCATTATTACTGAGTTCCAACAGAAGACTCTGCATTTTGCCAGCGTCTTCACCAAACAGGACTATGTCATCTGCGTATTCTAAGTCGCTTAGTGGTCCCCCTGGTAGGAGATCAATTCCTGTAAATTCAGTCGAAGAGAGTGTTATTTCCAGCAACAGGTCTATAATGAAGTTAAACAAAAGTGGGGATAGTGGACAGCCTTGACGGACACCACTTGAGGTTGTAAAATCATATGACAGTTCGCCATAAGCTCTCACTCGACTGGTAGTGTTCGAGTAAAGAGCCTTCACAAGGTTTATGTACTTCTCAGGTACACCTTTCAATGACAGACACTGCCACAGAACCTCTCGGTCTACAGAGTCAAATGCTGCTTTCAAGTCAAGAAAAACTATCATTGTCGGACGCCGATAAGCATGTCTGTGCTCTAAAACTTGACGAATGGTGAATATGTGGTCGATACAGCCACGACCAGGTCTGAAGCCAGCCTGATTTTCTCGTGTTTGCAGTTCACGAGTCTTAGTTAGGCGCCCGATAATTATTGAGGCTAGTATTTTAGATGCTATGTTAGTCAGACTAATCCCTCTATGGTTATCACAGGATGATTTTGGCCCCTTCTTATATATTGGGACAATCAGAGATTGTGACCAGTCAGATGGGATTACGTCCATCTCCCAGATTTTAGCTAGAATATTAGTCAGCCTAATAGCTAAAATTGGACCACCATATTTAAAAACCTCTGGAGCCAATCCATCTGCTCTTCCCCGTTTCAGATTACCTATAGCCTTTTGAACTTCAAGTAAGGTCGGGAAGCCAACTTCAACGTTCCATTCAGACTGTCTGGGAATAGTGGGTAATTCTGCAGTAGCTGAAGGCCAGCTAAACTGCTCCTTAAAGTGTTCCGCCCATCGTTCTAAACGTTTGGGTTGAGAGCAGATAAGGGTTCCGTCTTTTTCCGAGATTGTCTCACTTACACTTGACTTCTTAATTCCAGTTTCTTTTATTAGTCTGAATAGTTGCCTACAGCCGCTGCCTTTTCCATCTCTTTTGCTTTCGTTGCCCACCACTGCTCACGATCGTTCCTTAGACTTTTAGTTAACCTAGATCTAATTTCTTTACGCTCTTCGTCGTGTTCAGAGCCTGATGGGATGAGTTTACGCAAATCCATCAGTGAAATAGACTTGGAAGAAATCCATTGGTTTTTTGGAGCCCTATGATTTAAATGATTAACAGATGTGACTGCTGTTTCCACAGCTGTTCGTGTGTCTTTCCAGGCAGCATCTGGGTCAGTCTCGTTTACAGAACTGCCTAGATGTGAACTCAGTTGTCTCTGGAATTCACATTTGGCTTTCTCGTCCTCCAGATCAATCCTAATGGGTCTTCTTAGTGTACTTTTCCTGCGTCCATTGAGGCGCAGACAAATGCGCGCTCGTATTAAAGCGTGATCAAAGTCTAAACAAGTATTCCAATACGAGCGACAATCTTCTATTGAGCCTCTCCAACGATGACTGATGACAATATGGTCTATTTGAGTCCATCGTTGGTTTGGTGCAGGTGGTCGCCATGTTAGACGATGTCTCTCCTTATGTTTAAAATTAGTGCTTGCTAAAAATAAACGATTGTCTGAGCATAGTTGCAACAGACGATCACCATTATCGGTTCGTTGAGCCGGAATACTAAAACACCCACCTAAATGTCTTTCTGTTTGATTTAAGCTGCCTACCTGGGCATTAAAGTCACCTGCTACGACTACTATGTCTGAGTGCTTAGCTTTCTGAAGAAGCTTAGAGAGTTTTCTGTAAAAGTCATCTTTTACTTCATCATGGCTGCAGTCAGTGGGAGCGTAGGCAGAAACGACGAAGAGGCAACGACGTGTGTCCCTATCCTTCCGAGTTCTTACGGAGCCATTTAGCCGGACAGCACACAGGCGACTGTTAACGGGGATCCATTCTAATAGTGCTTGTTCTGCCCTTGTACTTAGTGCTATACCTACACCTGCAAGTCCACGAGAACTAGCCAACGGGTCGCCAGATACACGGAGGGTGTATTTCGTTGGCTGTCCATTTTGGCGAGGTGAGGTCAAGTGAATGACCACACTAGGATCCTGTATGCGTGTTTCGGAGACACAGCATACATCAATGGTAAGCGACTTTAGGGTTTTAGCTAAGGAGGCCTGTTGACCGATTTGACTTAAAGTACGTACGTTGAAGGCTCCAATGTGTAGTTTGGAGCGAGGTTTTAATAGACCTGGGACAGCGTTTCGCGCACTAGAATCGTTGGCCATGGTGACACTTGAGGAGGAAACCGGAACAGGAAGTTTAGTGTTGAAAGTCAAGGTAGAAGGAATAGTAGGAAATGAAGGAGATTGATTAAGAATACAGTGGTCTTGAGTGCTGTTAGAGGTATGAGGGCACTTTTCACTTCCCGGTTGCCCACACCATGGAAGGGTTCTTCTAGGGGTACCTGAAAAGGAAATTGGGTTAGAAGTGGTCTTAATGACCTGAGAGCGTGACCGCAGTGCCCAAGGGACAACTGCTTGAGGTCGGTCACACACGACCTTTTTGTGTTAGCTCCGTTCTTCAAAGGACCTTACCGCCGGAGACGGAAATCCGTGGGATAAGGCGAGGTGTGCATTTTTAGGGTCGACCTTTTCTAACCCCACCCCTCCTTGTGGGAAGGCAGCATCGCTGTCATGCTGGTTGTCTGAAGGAAACACCTTACTGCCGTCACACCTCTGTACAGTCGGCAGTACGACTTCGCCTTCGGACCTTGGGATTGCTGCTTTTAGTCTTACCGCTCTTCAACCGACCTGTCTGGCATGGTAGGACCTCGAGGAACGATTGTTCCAGCCAGCATAGCTCGATTGCTTCATCACGATAGGCAAGCCCGACCACCACGTCAAGGTAGCAGCAACGGTCGGGGCTGGATGTATCTGTATTCCACAGTTCATATTCAGATTTTGATGATAGCTTGGCAAATACCAGAATGCTCGTACCGATTCTGTATTGACTTTCGACATTTATGTACCTGACTATTTAGTCTTCGGCTGTATTTGTTCGTGTGTATGAGATAGAAGGTCTAGGTCAGCTGCGAAGTCCAAATCGTCTAATTGATTCTGAGATGTCTATTGTATTCCGTGTTTCCCCTCAGATGTCGAAGTCTTCATAATCCAGTTAATCAGCAGAAGAAAGAGAAAGGGGGAAGACTAAGCATCATCGACTCCGGTCCTTACTGGAAATGCAGCTGTCCTCCATCCACGACTCTGAACTGCAGTCTGTCGTATGAGTTCCGGATAATGTTAACAATCTTCTCAGGAACTCCATAATGTCAAAGAAGCTTCCATAATGTTCTCCGGCCCACACTGTCAAACGCTTTCTCATAGTCAGTGAAGTTGATGTATAATGACGAGTTCCATCCAACTGATTGTTCCACGATCCGTAGTGTCGCAATTCGGTTTGTGCACGACCGATCCTTACGGAACCCAGCCTGTTGACCTCGAAGCCAGGCGTGTGTTTCATCCAGTTAAGCAACACTCTGTTGAAAACTTTTCCTGGAACTGACAACAGTGTGATGCCTCTGTAATTCTCACATTTGCTCAGATCTTTCTTTGGTATTTTGATCAGGTATCCTTCTTTCCAGTCCATCGGCACTTGTTCCTCCTCCCGAATCTTCCTGAATAGAAGGTGAAGCATGTTTGCAGTTGTTTCATATTCCCTTCCTTTACAGCTTTTTCCGCCGTCGTTGCTAGTTCTCTCATGTATTTCTGCTTTTCGGCTTTACTTTACTTCTTTGTTAGCTTGTGTACTCTGCTTACGCCTTGACTTTCTATGCTCATGTTCGACTGTTGTAAATTGCTGTCTTTTTGTTCTTCCTTTCTTCAATCCTGTCCAGGGTTCCCATAGAGATCCATTCCTTATGATGATGATTCTTGCGACCCAAAACCTCCTAACACGTTGAAGTTAGTAGTACTACAACATTATCGAAAATATTTATTTGTTTATTTAAACACACAAATATTGGTACAAGGAAGCACCAGAAACATATGCGCCATACAAATCTCATTCGATTTTTGTGAGGGCTGTGATACTGAACAGGTGGCTTCCTTAGGAGGCCACACCCAGAGCCTTTGACCTAAAGATCTGATCCACGAGGCAGTGGAGCATCGTGAGGAGATGTGCAGTTCCATGGTAGCCGGTGATCAAATATTGATCCATACGCCATTTGTTCCCTCAGGATACTGGAGCCTATGTGCACCATTGGTTCGTAATCAGGGTTCCCCAACTCCCCTAGGTGGACTTCCCGTGTCCACCAACCCGGGTAAAGCGCCGGACATTCGCTTTTCGTCCTCTGGATTTCGTAAATAACACCCCCGCCACTAGAAGGCAGTGAATAGGACTTCCCTGTCAGAGGCTATATACGTGTGGCCATGTGAGAGCAGTTGGAGAGGAAGAGCGGACTCTCCCCACTCTCGGCCGTGCCAGGGCATTTGGGAGCAACACTGGACGGCCGTGCGCATCCACGAAGCGCACTCGCGAGATTCGAACCCAGGACCTGCCGGTCTCGAACCAGAGCCCTTAACCGATAGACCACTGAGCTAACATATAAAAGAACATATGACTACAGAGAAATAAATTTATCTGATTTCATCATTGTTTAAAAAGAAAAGCTATAATAAGAAAATATAAATATACACAAAGTTTAGTGCATAAATATATATACACACCCAATAATCTTGTTCGAATCTATGAATGTGTTCAATAAAATCTTGAAAGTAGAAATATGTGAAGAGAAGAAGAGAAAAAAAGCATAAAGAAAACACACCATAAATAAAATATACAGAAGAATCTGAAAGAAAATACAAAAAAAAGAATCATCACATATACATAAAAAATAGATGCATGTATAAAGGTAACCCCTTTCAATCTGTATTATTACTACTAATATTATTATCAGTAGTATTGGTATTGTTATTATTTACAAATGGAAGAGTTAAATTTCGTTTTCGACGTTTAGCCAGTCGTCGTTTTTGACTACGACTTAATGGTGTGCACATACTTTTTTCAGATAACCGATTGATATGTTCAGACTTTATTAATCCATTACAATTTGTGAATAAAGTATTGTTTATATGAATAGTTGTACTATTATTAGGAATTGTATCATTTGAAGTCAGTTGAAATGATATTAATTTATTATTACTATTATCATTAACATTATGATTATCATCACTATTGTTAATAGTTCGACGCTTCTTGTTAAAAGGTGGCTGTTCAAAATTGGATGAAGTTATTTTCATTTTTAATGATAATTTTCTATTTGTTTGATTTGGTAGGCAACTACTAGTGTTCATTATTGATTTTGGTAAATTTTCTATAAGTGATAACCATGATTGATCAATGATTGAAATATGTCGCATAAAAACACGATCATTTTGTTCTATTGGATTGTTAGATTGAAATTTATATTCACTACTTGTGACAGCTTCAATAAAGAGTAAACATGAAGGTGGATTATTCAGTGAAGATGTGTATAATTGTGATTCTGGATGAATTAATAATTCTTGTGGTGAATTTGTTGATAAATTAATAGTTTTACTATGTACATATATGGGATGATGTGAATTTTTGACTAATCGTTGAGTATCACCACCTTTGTACGATTTTGACAGTTCAGAAAGAATTACAACCTATATGAATGGTAAATAGAATAAAATCAAAGTTAAACAAATGATAATCATATAATATTATAAATGATCTATTCGTAATAAATTATATATTGGATGGATTAAATATCCCCGACACTAGGCGAAAGAGAACATTTTGTTACATATTTTCACTCTGCTCCGTTAAAATCTCAATACAGTTCTACTGTATGGGGCGGAAATCTGGAGAACTACGAAAGTCATCATCCAGAAGACATAAGTGATTATTAACAGTTGTTTACGCAAGATAATTCAGATCCGTTGGCCAAACACTATCAGAAACATTCTACTGTGGGAGAGAACAAATCAGATTCCATCCAGTGGAGGAAGAAATCAGGAAGAAGCACTGGAATTGGATAGGACACACATTGAGGAAATCGCCCAACTGCGTCACAAGCCGAGCCTTCACATGGAATCCTGAAGGCCGAAGGAAAAGAGGAAGACCAAAGAACATATTACACCGAGAAATGGATACAAACATGAGAAGAATGAACAAAAGTTGGAAGGTGCATGACAGAATGAGTGGGTTGAAGAATGCTGGTCGGCGGCCTATGTTCCATTGGGAGTAACAGGCGTAAGTAAGCAAATAAGTGAAAGGGATTTTGTGAAGACTGTTGAATCTCCATAGCTTAGATCACAACCCGATCTTAGTAAGACCATTATCGAAAACCATAAAGCGTTGGATAGCAGTTTTGTTCTAGCGTGGGACTACCCGACAGTACACAAACACACATGCACTAAACCACTATACATAGAACCTAGAACTTACTAGTTTTGGAACGAACGCTTAACCATCAAAACCATCGAGTTAGTATCCGACTAGACGTATTTCTAAATTCAATTAGCTAGATATTAATAGTTATTAAAAGTGACCTCAGTTCACTCAGATATAGCAAACTTGAAGCAGTGAATTGAGTGTCTAAGTAACTGGGGAACATATATTCGTTCCAGAATAATGATTAATAATAAAAAAAATCAACTTTTAATGAATCAATGAGTTGGCATGTCTATGTTAGGAATAGTTTCAATATACTGTCTAATCGTTTTATAACCATCTAACTTAGACAAACAATTTCAGATGATATACACATTCAATCAGACTTTTATATAACAAATTTCGGTTAGATTATAATTATGAATGATCATTGAGCGACGTTAAACTGGCCTTGAGAATGTCCACCTACTTACTAGGGCTAAATGAGGATTATGATTTACAGTTGATGGTTAGGGTTAGGAATTAGATTTAAGGTTTTCATTACAAACTAACATCAGCTAAAATGCTAGAACGCTCTCTGACCAAATGGATGAATGAATTTCATGCCAAAATGTAAGACCTGATGTCCTAAATCTGATTGATTAGTCCATAAATTACCGTCAAGCCGACATTTTATTTTCATTTCTCCACATTTTATTGTGAACTTTGTCTTGTGCCCAGCGCATTGCCTTTTCTAATAATTTCGAACGGAATCAATGATATTAGTCGAAGATTAGATTCCATAAATATATAAATTGAAAACTTATTTAAATATTCGATAATAAGCATTGCTAGCAATCACATATATATTCTGACTATATGGAACAATCGAAGTGATATTTCTTTTTGCTTTTCAACAAAATATCTTTTTACACTACCTGATCTTGAAAACCCGACAAAAGAAAGGCTTGTACAATTTTTTCTACATTTGTTCCACATGAATGCATATAATCAGTCAATCCTGTACTTTGGGCAATCTGTTTTAGTTGACCACGTACACGTACAGCTGTTTCTAGACGTGATCTGTTTATAAAATTGGCACGACACCATTGAATCTTTGAATTACGTTTGAACAATTTACATTTTGACGGAGATTGTATAGAACAATCTATAGTTGATTGAGAATGGTTTTTTGAATTGATTGATTTTTGTGAACGAGCATCTTTAGTAGCTTTAACAAATCCACGATAGACTAAAAGAAGGCTGACGAGGTCACCAGATGGATGACGAAATCGAGACTGTACCTACATAAAAGTAGATCATATTACATACATTGACTAAGATTCAAAAAAGGGTAAACAAATAAGAAATACAAACTTAGCATACGATGAGAAGGATAAAATATTTAATCCTAGATGCTTAACACAGTTGTATTATGAATTTACGATATGAAAATAGCAAGAATGGTGTGTACGACCAAAACGGAACGAAACGGCTAACTCTTATAAATGTTTATTGTACACGTTATATTGAATCGATTCATTTAACATGTACAAACCTGTATACTTTTTTTCAGAGTTTGTGTAGACTACCAGGCTGTCGAAATAGATGGAGTAAGGGGTTCGAAACCATGACCTGCTTGTTTGGAACTGAACGTTTTAGTCTATAAGCGATCGGTTCATATTCAATTAATTTACACTAAACTCGAATTCTATCAAATATATAACAATATCATTATTCTAATCTATTACACTAGCAGGTAATCATATCGTTTGCAAACAAAATTATTAGTGTATTTATAATAGTAATGTTGCTGTTTTCCAAAAGAGTAAATGACGATTCTGGCACGAGAGAGAGCTATACTTGTCATTAACTATGAAGACACAACGTTTGTGCCGAAAATTCTCATTAAGAAACAATTCTTTTCGGTGTGTAATAGTTGACCAAACAGCCTGACACTGCAAAGGGCATTGATGGTAAAAAAAAATCCACATTTCTCAATCGTGATAGTAATAATCATGCACTCAACTGATGGTTAACTTAGATCTTTTGCAATACATTTTTTAAATCATCTTTATCTCGATGTGCTAACAGTCTTTGTGTTGATGAAGACTGTCTGTCATTAGTTTCGAGGTTTTAATGAGAGACAGTGGTCAGGAAATTAATAGTGTCGAGAGTTATACAGGTAGATATCATTGTGACAGTATTGGAGAATGGTCGTGAATAAATTAACGGTGAATCACGTTTAATAAACAGTGACTGTAAACTGAACCCTGTTCATTTTATTTGATAATTTAACCAACAAAGATGCATTTTTATGCATCTTCATTTTGTCGAATATATCAAGTAGAAATGATTGGGTATTGTGTGAATCAAAAAATAACATTCCGAAAAGGTTCTATTCACCAAAAACAGTAGTATTTTGAGACAAAGATCCTTGAAATTTATCTGACTATGAGTATAGTGATCATATATATATAAATTTGCTGTTGCATGAATGAAGATAATAATTGATACGCTGGACCGATCAGACATAGGTGAGATGATAAATGAGATGCTGATGGCCAAATTTTCCTGGTCAACATTTGGCATAATTTCCTGAAGAAATGGATATACGAAATAAGTTGAAAATGTAGCTCAATTCATGATGGATACATACATGGATGACGTATATTGGTTGAACTAGTCAATGAAAGCTAACTATTGACTATTGATTTTCTCGATCGATTGGTTGGTTTGAGCAAATGTAAAAGAAAAGCTTATCAAAGAAGCAGAAGCGGATGACCACAGAACATAACAGCAATAGTTTCAATTGTGATACATTCAAAAGGTAGACTAACGTAGAGTCATACTTTACCGATATGCATCGGTTGTAGTTGTATTAAAAATGAAACAGACTGTTCGATAGGTTATTTTCCCGCCTTACATCCATATTGAAATAGAAATTCGACTAAGCACAATTAAATTGTTTGAAGTAAGGTAATTTATCGTCCCTTATGAACGCTTGAAAATGTATGAAGAATTTATCTAGTGACATTGTACTCAAGATATTGGGTCCGGTCTCGTGTTAAGAGATGAGTGTGGATTACTAATGGTTTGAATAATTTTTTCTGGTTAGCGTTTTTTTGGCGAGCTGGTTTTCTACGGGATGGGGTCGCTAACTCCATGCCCAATCCTCCTCCTTCACCCGGGCTTGGGACCGGCAGTAGCCTCCGGAGAAGCTACAGGCGGAGAAATAGAGACAGACATGAGAAGAATGAACAAAAACTGGATAGAACTAGAAAAGAAGGCCCAGGACAGAGTGGGTTAGAAAATGCTGGTCGGCGGCCTATGCTCCATAGGGAGTAACAGGCGTAAGTAAGTAAAGTAAGTGGATTACTAGGAAGCCTCCAAAGTACGACAAAATGTCCATTTCCTTCCTTCATAGTTTTTACTGTGGTACCAAAATAGCTGATATCAATTCATGATAATAAATGACTGACTTTAAGACGAACAAAATTTTCTTTTGTAAAAAGGGAACAAAATTTGACCAAACTTACTTCTGAAAATTCACTGCGTTTCTCAACTGGCACATAAAACACAGGACAAACATAAAGCATACTTATAATACTTAGTATTTCGATTAGACAACCCAAATAAGCAGCAGAAATCAATGTTCTGGAAAATCTTGGCTCCAATGGGAAAGCTGACATAAGTCGTCCAAGAACTGTAAGCTTGAATAAATTTACAAAACAACGGAAATAAATAACAATTTACAAGTAACAAACATTAAATGCTACAAGTATATGGTAATAATCTAAAGTTGATCAAAACATTAATGACTCTAAATTTGTCCATTTTTTCTGATCATTAGTTATAACTGTTTAATTTCTAAGTATTTGTATTTTCTCCATGTTGTTGATGTTAATGTCTGCACAGTTGATCAGTAACTAGTGCTGATTTACTTGATATTTCCATATGGTCATGAGTTTTAAGTCAGGCAGTGACCAGCATTGGAATTTAGGATGAGCATTTCGACCTGTTTGGAACTCATCAGATAGGTGTGTTGATGTTTACACTGGGACTCGAACACAGTATTTTCCGCATTAGTCCAAAGATAATAGAAATAAAATGTAGGTCGCATTGAAGAGAATATAACATCCACATTCATCGGGAAGCTAAGGATGGGAAACGTAATTTAAACAAAATAAATGAAATCAAACACAAAGCATGAGATGACATTAAACTCAAACTTTAGAGCAAAATAAAGAATCGATGCAATTACGCCTTTATGACCGATTTTTCTTCCAGTTTCAACTTAAAAGTCTGTATATAATAACATGGTTCAAGTTAACAGTTAGCAACTTGATGATTTTAAAATGACCGTCCCTTTAACTTTTCGAACCTTCGACTGGTAATAGACGTCGGAGTAGGCGATGGCTAAACACTTATTAAATGTATGAGTAACCGATGATAAAAATGACTGACTAACTTTGAGATGAGATTTCAGAGGGAAACCTTTGCTAGTGAAATTCCACTATGTCGAATGTCGGACAGTTATTCATTGTACATAGCGGAAGATGGTCACTTAATATCGTAAATTAATTGTAGCTATATATGGACACTATTATTATTAAATAACTTACAGAGATTGGGTAGGGAATTTTTACAGAATCATTTAATTTATTCGAATCCGTGCTAGTTATTGCATCCTGAGAGCATTTGGAAGATAACGGTTCTGCTTCATCATCATTCACCACAACAGCACCTAACTGAAGAAGTAGTTTAATCCCAGCTTCAATAGAGGATGGTTTAGGCGAAGATAACCATGGAAATTCAGTAGGATTCTAAGTGGAAAAACAGTGATCAGAATAATAGATCTGAGTTAAACATCAATTAAATGCAACATTGAAATAATAGTAATAAAAGCCTAGTGAAAATTCCCATTTTGACATTTGGTAAAAAGAACGAATTGGGCGAAGAAATTTCTTTTTAATTAGCTTTTCATCATGGCAATTAAAGGTGCAACCTCGTTAAAAATAGAAAGATGAGTTATACAAAATTACTCAAGTCTGTTACCTCTTGGGGTATAGAGTACTAATCACGGATCTATAAGCAAGGGGTAAAAATGCATTCGCTTTCCATTTCTTGGTTCCATTTTTGACTAGATTTCCATCCGACTACGTGTTTTTACTTTTTCAGAATAAATCAAATAAACCTATTCACCCAGTACCTAAGCGTGAGGGTAACTGGTACTGTAGTGAACGAGAACACAGGCGGGGACAATTAAATGAATTTGAATACGAAATTACAGAATATCTTAGTAAAATATGAGAACCGTACAATAAATACTTCATTTGCAAATTGTCAATAAATCGTCTCATAGTTCATTGTGTTTTTTTCTGATTCCATACAAATCACTCTCTGTTCTCGTTCTCTTCTCTTCAATCTTCTTAACCTTCTTCCGCCAAGCATTTGATCATCGCTTAGTGATACATGCTACCTATATCTGTCAACATCAGTAGCATATACCACAATACTACCCAGATACCAAAACTGAAGTAAAATGGATTCAAACCTCAAGCTTAGTGGACGAAAATCGGACGCCTTAACAATTAAGCCATAGCTCTATTTTTCTTGCCTACACTACTATTACTTATGAAATGAGAAAAAAAGTAGTTCACACTAGTAAGTACTATTACTAGATTCTATTCTGTTTACTTCTATGTCAAGTAGCATTAAAACGTACATAAGTGATTGGCAAAGATACGTAACGTACCTCTATTTCATATATCATTAAAATGGGGAAAATCGATGGGCACAATGCAAGGCTTAATTTTTATACATCTGCATAAATAAAGATACGCATACCTTAGGAAAGGTAAAACCTTAAGTATAAGTGTGTGTAAAGGGAAAGATTTAATCTGAAACAGGTGAAAAGTTAGCGTTACCTCTAAAATGTGCCCAAACCGAAAAATGTTTTTAGGTCACATATCTATTTTTATATCTACAAACCACCACGGGTAAAAACTATTTGATTTTAGAAGATTAAAGTAAATGTGCAACCATCAATACTAAACAGTGCAAAGAGCCATTCATGCAATTCCATGAAAATAAAAAATATGAAAGTAGTATTAATAAGAATAGAATAGTTACAGGTTAACAAATGAATATTTTATATATGCACTCAGATACTTTCGGAGAAGATAAACGTAAAATCTTGAATGTATTTTTAGTGGGTCTGAGGTAATGCGACTGCCATGTATGTATTTTATGATTACTTCTCACTAGCCTGTTTACAACTACAGTTCAAAATGTAATTACTGACTAACTTTGATATGAGATTTCAGAGGGAAACCTTTGCTAGTGAAATTCCACTATGTCGAATGTCGGACAGTTATTCATTGTACATAGAGGGAGATGGTCACTTAATATCGTAAATTAATTGTAGCTAGATATGGACACTATTAAGTAAATAAAAGCCTACAGGTTAAAAGGTCGTGGAGAAACCTAAGATCCTGGCCTTGATCCCCTATGAGGTTGTGAATGTGTACTGATGAGAAGTCCTATACTAAGATAAAACAGTTATCCAGTGCCTCTTTTGATAGCACTGAGTAACAATGCAAGGATGTTTAGGATGAGTTTCTTCCCCTGTAAATGTAAACTGTTGCTCCAGGACTGGCCTGCGTAAATATAATAATATAATAATAGTAACACCACTGAAGTAACTACTTCTGTGATTTCGGTGTTCATCTTGTATTAATGAGGTGTAGAAACTTGGACTGATGCATATATGTGTTTGGTCCTGCGTCGTAGCTGAGATTGAGACAGAATGTTTAAGTGCTGTTCATGCGTCCGGCTAAAATTAATATTTGACACTTAGAAGGATTAAGTGTGAGACCATTTTACAACATTATTAGCATAATAATTAGTGAAAATTCCCCGAAAAGTTTTAGAGATTAGAGCATTTGGCTTCTAGATTGAGTTAAAAACCCACCCATCTCTTTTAGTATGGAAATTTGGTCATCCTATTAGCCCTCACACACAAACAGTGTGACTCAGAATTAAGTACATAAAGCTTTACTTGTCATGTGTGAACTACAAAAATAATGGAAAGTAACAATTTTTAGTTGTTAGGACTTGAGTCACTATCTCTAAGCACAGAGTATTTTGTATTATGCTGATGACAAGCACTTTCGTATAGCTGATTTCACTATAGCGACCTACACAAATTTCTTTGGATAATTGCTTTTACATTTGGTATTTTATATATATTTTGATTTCCTTTGATATATGAGACACCAAAAAGGTCTTGCTCATGATGCTAAAAAATTCGTACGAATTAGTCCTAGTGGTATTGCACTAGCCTAATAACACTTTGACGGTCCCCATGTGATTGGGGACACAGATGACTTTAGGCGGATGGGTTCTTTCTTTAGCTTATCTAACGGCTTAACAAATAACATCCTTACATTTTCAGTCGGATAAGGGACGTGTTCGGCGTTATCGAAATGAGCGTAAGATACAAGTGGGATAGGGAATTAGTGGATATACCAGGGAACCCTTTAAACGGATGCATCGAAATCACAAATCACTCAATTTTAACTGAAGTGCATTTTCTTAGAGCATCTCGAAGACTCATTCAAGGTCTTTTTCCCATTACTGAACTGTTTGCGTATTTATGATTTCTTTTTTGATTTTGAAGCTAAGTCAACAAGAGGGCTTGTGAATGATCCATGACACAATAATACCTTACTGGAATTTGTCCTCTTCTGCTACAGTTAACTCACTTAGTTGTCTCCGGCCGGTTAGCTACGTTACCGAAAACTTCTGATATCCCCCATGGTCTCTAAAGGGAATGAAATGGAGGGACTATAAGAAGCAGCTAACTAGTAATAAAAACCATATGAAAGGCATAGTAACCATTTGGTAACTAAACGATGCATACAGATTCCAGTAGCAACAATAAACCTGACAGAAAATGTGACATCATAAAAAATCAAGTTTTTATGAATACAACTCCAACAACTCAGTAGGAATTTCCAAGATTTAAGATATCAGAACAATTTTGAACAAGTAGGCAAGCGGATTCCATACACGTTAAACACAATACCGTAAATATTAAATGCATTAACGATCATAGATTATAAATAATCTACAACCCTTCACTTACCTTTATGTTCATAGATACAAGGTTCAGTAAAACTCCACTGAGTGGAGCTTGCAAAATCTGCGGTCTAGGTTGAAGTGGCATATTTTTATATTCTGAATCTGTATACAATCGAAGACAAACACCTGCTGCTTCACGTCCAGCACGTCCTGAACGCTGCCATGCTTGTCCTTTGGAAATCCATTGAACACGAAGACATTCAAACCCGGTTTTAGGATCCCAGTCTCTATTAGTATTATTAGCAAGAGAAATAACTTACTGAAATATTTATATACTTCCATTTAATAACTGTTGAATGAAATGATGATCATCAATGATAATATATATATTCCTTATTCTTTCAACGGGTATAGGTCTGTGTACTTGGCTATGAGTCGCATTCTAAATGTGAAAGCTGGTGATATACTTTCCAGTCATCTAAGCAGAAGTAGGTGGAGCGGGATTTGAAACTGGGAGTTAGTTTATAGAATAGACAGGTTGAAGTTAACAGTTAAATTCAGCACTCACTTTTCTCAATATACAGAACTCGTCAGTTGTATGTGCCTGCATCTCAGTGTTGATAATTACAGTGGGACTCGAACCAAATGCCCTTTGTTTTAAATGGCCAACGCGTTATCTACTAAGTCAAGACAGCCAATCATTTGTGAAACAGGTAAGATAACCATATCATTGTTTATAATATTGGCTGACAATAGAATAATTCAAATCATTTCTAATAATGATACTGAGACTTGATGGTTCAGAGTCGGACACAACCACTGAGCCACACTATACTGTAAAGACTGATAATTAAAGGATTTCATCAAGTGTTAAGTGATAGATCAATGACTTTGAACAACAACCTACTTTTGAAGGAAACAATAATTGATTATTTTTAGTTGAATTAATAATTGTGATTAATATTACCTAACGTGGATAAATGGCACCTCAATTAGTCAATCCACAACTGCCAATTTCAGTGTCTATATTGAAAGTGAGTTGTATTCTGTATGACTCAAGAAAATATTGTTCAACTATTATATAAGCAAACAATCAGTTTCCGATAGAGTTATACTCAGCTACTAACAAGTTGAATTATTTTTTCTGGTTAGTGTTTTTTTAGCGAGTTGGTTTTTCTACAGGATGAGGTCGCTAACCCCATGCCCAACCCTCCTCCTTTATCCGGGCTTTGGACCGGCAGTGACTCTAGAAGAGCTACAGGCGGAGTGAGTGGCCTATGCTCCTCGACGAGGGGTAACAGGCGTAAGTAAGTATTAATAAGTTAGGTATATAATACTATATGTTAACTAGTGAACAAATAACATGTAAGGTTAATGTACATATGGAGCTACTTAACTAGTTTTCGTATTTACACTTGACTGTGTTGATATTAGGTAGTATTTAGGGTATACGATGTTTATGTGTTAAAGAATGTGATTTAAAGTATCACGTTTTCTGTTAGTTAAATAAATTATGAGGGCTGTGAGAAAATGTATCATAATGAATTGGCTAGAATTAAAAACTATGGATACAAATAGGAGCGCAATAACATTCTGATTAGAAACCATGCTAAAATGTTACAACTGTAATTCAAAAACACTTGAATACAGTATTGATAAAAAAGATACCAATGTTAGTTTATATGGTTGTCCTATACTGAGGTCATGTTGAGACTGAGTCAAAATAAATGGTACACAAAGTAATAATTTTAATGTTCATTTGCTAGATAGACTAGCTGTCTTTCTTTTATTTAATAGGTTAACAAAAGTAATTAGTAGAACTTTCTACGCAGCCTATCTCGCATTGACTTTCTCGAGTCGACCAGTGATGTCTACTCAAACGAAGGATAAGTTACCTGAGTTGGCCTCCTCCATGTGCATTTATAAGTTCAGCTGCTCCTGTGGAGATAGCTATATCGGGCGTACTACTAGGCAACTTAACCAACGAATGAGTGAACAACTACCAGCATGGTTTGGAAAGGGCCAAATAAAAACAATACGCAGTTCTATCTTGGCACATCTAATTGATAGTGGTCATATTGTCGATAAATTGAAATCATTTCAAGTGATCTATTGTATACCTTCATCGTTTCCCAACGGAGTTCGCTCCCGTCTACTTCAAATAGCAGAAGCCATAGGAATTCGTTTATGGGAGAGGACAAACCAACTTCCAGCTGAAGAGGAAATTAGGAAAAGACGTTGGAAGTGGATCGGACATACATTAAGGAAATCACCAATGTGCATCACGACTCAATCCCTAACTTGGAATCCGGAAGGGAAGCGGAAAAGAGGAAGGCCAAAGAACACACTACGCCGGGAAATAGAAGCCGATATGAAAAGGCTGAATAGTAACTGGAAAGAACTGGAAAGGAAGGCTCAGGACAGAGTTGGATGGAGAATGCTGGTGAGCGGCCTATGCTCCTCCACAAGGGGTAACAGGCGTAAGTAAGTAAGTAAGTAAGTATAGGAATTCGTACATTCCACCCCAATTTATGTGTACAGAAGAAATTCGTAACCCTCCTATCCCTTCCATGGCCGGACATAACAAATGACATCTGTAAATTTTATTTTTATTAATTTTAATTTTGTTATCATTTGTTTGTAATTTTCTACCTCTTTCCGTTTGTATTCTTCACTATCTGATTACTTACATACTTCTTATTACGTAATGATTTTAATGTTTTATTATTACTATTCCAGTCTATTTACCCACGTTTGATCTCTTAATTCTCAATGTTTAATTATTGATAAGACTTTTGTTATCGTAATTTACTATTCTTACTACTATCAGTACACCTGTCTTCCCACTATCAACTTGTACTTTTAACTAATATTATGCTTGGTAACGTATTCTATTTCAGAGGGGGTTTTGTGGAGAATTTAGTATTTTCATAGTTGAAATCATGAGTCAATTGAAGCTAGACCACCATCGAAAACATGGAAGCACTGAACGGCCTTGTCGTCCTATTATGGGACTCCTCAGCAGTGCGCATCATGATTTCAACTGTGAAAATACTAAATTCTCCACAAAACCCCCTCTGATCTATAATCATATGCTCACTAGTGACTGACTTCAAGAGATATTTCCTTGAGTTCTAGTGGGAAGCAGTGGCCAGTGGAGTTCTACCAAGTCTGTTGTAGAGATATCAACTCACTGAAGACAATTGGTGAACGATCGCTCAAAATCGTGGATTGGTTGAAGTTAGACATTAACACCGTTGGATGCCGGCTCAGTGGTCTATCGGTTAAGGGCTCCGGCTCGAGACTGGTAGGTCCTGGGTTCGAATCTTGCGGGTGCGGGATCGTGGATGCGCACTGCTGAGGAGTCCCATAATAGGACGAAACGGCCGTCCAGTGCTTCCAGGTTTTCGATGGTGGTCTAGCTTCAATTGACTCAAGCATTCTATTTCATTGTGATTATTATTGACTCAAATAGCCTTGTGATTGGTCTAACATTTTCATATAAATATTCATGTATATTAGAGTAAAGCCTGATGACGATCTAATTGAAAACAATTGTTCGCTTACATATGTTGTTGTATTATGGAGTTGTATCTCCGGATATTTTGTTACTGTCTTGTGAATTAGACCTCTAAGAAAATGTGCGAGAAGTGGGTTCATAATTAAACCATCTGCTTCAATAAAGGCGCTCAGGTAGTAGCTGACACAAAAATGATAATCAACAATTTAGGAAAAAGTAATACATAAATCATTTTAATTTTGTGCTATTATTATTGTTATCAATCGCTCTCATGATTAAAAGTCCATTTTGTAGGTTTCGTATCACTTATCTTAATGTTTAATTATAGATTCTCCTACCCGATTCTTCTCAGCATACATTTTCTTACAGAACAAAATATACCTCTAGGTTACACGAAAATCTCTCAGACGTTGAGCACTACATTTTTGGTAAATAATAGTTCCTTATAGTTGAATGTTAGATAGAGACATTCATGTGACTCAGTAGGAAACAAGATAATATAGAGAAAAAATTTATTGTCAGTTCTTGCTAATTAATTCAATCCTGCTTAAATGAATGCTTGGAGACCTGAATAATTCTTCGGAAAAGTCTTCAAAAGCTGAGAAAAGTTTGGAAAAAAATACTTCGATCGACCAATTATAAATAAGAGCTTTTCAGTGTTTTGGAAAGTTAATGCGATACATGTCATCCTCTGATTGAATAATTACCGATTTTCTTATAAGTTTTCATCATGTTTCCAGAAGGTCAAAAATAAGCCTATAAATATCCTTGTTTTCTATACCTAAGCTAACCTTGGAAGTAAAACTTTTCTTTATGCTTCCTGTCTTTTTATCTTCGGAATGGAACTCAAATGGTTAGGAAATCAGTGTCAAATCGATTTAATTGTTTATATCAGTTCGTAAAATAAATGAATTTCATTGATTGCTGAAACTGTATAGCAATAGAAGATACAATGTGACTAGTAGCTAAAGATTAAAAGAAAATCTTTCTAACCAAAAAACGGTGATAGAAACGATTATATATCGATTGATAGAAGCTTACTTTATTTTCGCGCGCCCACAATCTATCACATAACGTATACCTGGAATGGTAATAGATGTTTCTGCTAAATTTGTACTGACTATCACTTTACGCTGATTCTAAATAAAAAAGAGAGAAAAGAGAAAAGTGAGAACATAATGAAATGCAAGATATTGATGTGTTGTACTGATTCTAACTGATAAAAAATATACCTCGCTGAACATTTTAAGCATCTGATCAAAAAAAGCAAACAAATTTTCTAGTAAACAAATTTTTTTAAAAACTGAACTCGATCATTATTAGGACCACTACTACTATTAAAGTTTTCATAGTTTAAATCACAAAGTGATCCTAGAGAGATCACCATCAAAAACTTGGAAGAAATGGACAACAGTTTCGTCTTAGTATGAGACTCCGAAGTCTGTATCCACAACCCCGCTTCCGGGTACCGAATCAGCGACCTTTGGTCTCGCACGTGAATTATCATTATTATTAAGTTCTCACACAGTTATGAGTGCATATATAAGGTTGGAGAGAAAGAATATTTTATAAGATGAAATCTATGAAGAGAAAATGTGTAAGATTTGCTTTAAGTTAACCTTTCAACTTAATAAGAGATTTTAATCGCCTGTAGACAAAAAAATAGTTATGAAATCATAAACTAATCCAAGGAAGAAAAAAGAAAATCTTTCTAACCAAAAAACGGTGACAGAAACGATTATATATCGATTGATAGAAGCTTTGAGAAAAAGAACTCAGAATCTGTGAAAACACGTTCGGATCATTAATCTGGAACCTTTAAACTACAAACACAAGTATAATTTTGGCTAACTAAACACCCTAATTGTAGCAGTTAATTATTAAGGCCACATCAAACCGGTTTAAAAATACATATATTCATATGGTTAACCAATGAGTGAAAACACTTTTTCATTGTTGGTAGCAATAATAAAAATAATCTGGAATAACGTCAATCTGTTCAATAAATAAGTTGCTTAGTGGAATTACGTAGTAACTGAACAACATAAAATACATCTAATTACAAACACATAAAATCACGATCTCAAGTGGGACTATCAACGATGAGAACTGGAGATTATAACATTCGTTGATGACCAATAATTTATTCATTTTACTAATCAACAATACAGGCATATATGTGACAATCCAATAAGTTAATATAATTCTCTATATAGTTGTCTCTTTGTATGCTACAATAATAAACACGGAATACTGATTATTTTTATATTTGTGATTGATGTTTTAAGTAGTCAATTTATGTAAGTACATCTATTTAAACAAAACGTATGACCTTCAAAGTATGAATTTAAAAGAATGCTATTAATGATTAACTATGAAAACTAAAATCGTGTTGTGAATAGCTGACCAATATTTCAGATTATGAATTTAGTTAATTGAAAGAAGTTGGTAATAAACCCTGAATATGTATTTTGTGATGGTTAGCACAAATCATTAAGTTGTAATAGTAACCGCAATCATGAAGGAACTATTGATACATCTAATTCAATTCAAACTTCCATCATTCATTGTTACAGTTAAAAACATATATCAATCAACTATTCAGAAGTGACTATAGATTAGACAAAAATCCAACATATTTTCATGAATCGATCTAAACTAGATCACCACTGAAAACCTGGAAGCACTAGACAGCCGTTCCTTCTTAGCATGGGATTCCTTGGCAGTGTGCATCCACGATCCCGCATGCAGAACATGAACCCAAGACTTTCGGTCTCGCGCATGAACGCTTAACCTATAGACCACTGAGCCGGCATCCAACAATGAAGGATTGAGCAAGATCATGAACCTATCGAAATTATACATTAACACCTTTGAATGCAGGCTGAGTGGTCTAAAGGTTAGACGTTCACACGCGAGAACGAAAGTCCTAGGTTTGAGTCCCACGCGAGGGATTGTGGGTGCGCAATGACGAGGAGTCCCATACTAGGATAAAACGGCCATCCAGCGCCCCCATGTTTTCAACAATGGTTTAGCTTAGATCGACTCATAAATTCAACTTTGAAAATACTACAATCTTCACAAATTCCCAATACTGAAGATCTAACATGGTCTTGGAAAATAATAACTAGAATTTAGTGAATACTCACCACAATTTAAACCAGTAATATCTATAGGACTATTTTCTTTCAGTCCAATTGTATCTTTAAAAAACACCAACTTTATTTTCATTATAGTACAATAAATAACAAGAATCTTCTAGTATAGACTACTTACATTATCACAAAAATTTAATGCTTTCAACTGTTGGATCTGAGGTAATGATGAGAAAAGTGGAAATACTGCAAGTCCATTTTTAATTGAATTCATCCGATCGATATTTGTTGAATGAGATAATTGTTTGATTAGGGAACAACATCGCATAATCTCTTCTTCACCAGTTAGAAAAATTAAAATACCACGGTCTAAAGGAGAATTCTTTGAATTATGAATCTATTAAGGAAAAACAGTAAGTATAAAAAAAATTAGAGTTTATATAAAACATATTCAGTGAGTCAGTCAGCTAGGACCTAGGACCAGGCACATTTATGCATCGGTCCAAGTTACCTTACCTCGTTAGCACAACAAGATGAACACCGGATTCATAGAAGTAGTTAATTCAGTGGTGGTGGTAGTATATAAAAGATAGGTTGTATATAAGGATATAGTATAGGAAGGAAGAAAGTTATGAAGCAATTTCAATCTCAAGGTTTAAGGGAAGATAAAGAGTGTATACACCTACGCCATTGTGATCGATTCTGAGCCATGTCACACAGAGTCTCCAACCATTGGTTACGATAGACACGCGGACCCCAACCAGGTAGTCTGCATCTGTCAACATGGCTCAGACTAGAAGTTAGTGACTTCAAACACTGATGCCATGTTTTGGTTTGGCCGCCCCTACCTCTCTTCCAACAATCCCCTACACCAGTCATCATAGCGCGTCGTGGTAATCGGTATTCAGACATACGTAACACGTGACCTAACCATCTCAGTCGATGAAGATTCGTGACCTCATCAACTACAAAACATCTTACTATTTACAAAAACTAAAAACTCTCAGTCTAAATTAAGACAACATACATAAGCGAATAATATTATTGTCAATTACATCTTCATCAAGTTTTACTTCAATATACAGAAATATTTATAAGCATATATGAAAATATTCGATCGACCAAGTTCATTTGAGTCAATTATAACAATAAAGTAGATTACGAATATTCGCACATGGCTTTGAGCGGATTAACCATGTGGACTGATGATAATAAACCTACTAGGAAAACCGGAATAGCTTGAGAAGGGGTTGGAATATATCCAGTGATTTAACCGCCAAGCCATCAACAAAAAATCTTAAGTGATATTTGAGAACCATGAGATGTGAAGTTTAGTAATTGTGACTGTTAAGACTGAAAGACCTTGAGTGGATAAAATGCACCTGTTTTGACCTTAACAATTGTATACAAATAACTTGAACACACTATTAAGACAAAAAATAACCAATGAAAAATAACATCGTATTGAGCTTTTGAAATTCTATCCGTGTCAATAACTGTAGCATGTTAGTCATATTTATACAATATTCTCACTGACGTGTTGGGCGAAGTATAGTAGGAAGTGGAAGAGAAACCATAGTGAAATATTGATTGAAATAGTCAACTTTTTAATTACCGAGTTTTCAAGGATTGAATCCTAACCTATGTGTTTCGCCTTGGGTGCCTGACATGCTGAGTCAGTATAGACACATAATGCCTGCGCCCACATGCTATTTCAAGGTCAAATGGCAGGTAACAAACTATGAAAGAGGGACGCTATTGGAGGAGGCCGATTAGGCACCTAGTCAGAATCTTGAGCTACATATCCTTTTCCACATTAGAAGGATAATCCTACATATACCTGTAATTTGTGTATAGTCTAATTCAGTCAGACAATTAAACATTCACACTTGTCCTAGTCTTTTCATGCGCAGATTGGGTTTGGGATACCGTACAGAGTGCACATCGTAACTAAATCGGATCTTAGAATACAAGAGCGATTCTGATAGAGTTCCGCTTAAGGACCAGCACATGAATATGTACAATGGATTAAAAAAATAAAACGGTGTTGCCAAAGTTATAAATATATTTACCCGAATACAAACAGAAGCTGCATCCGCCACATAATCTGTTAAAGACTGAGAAACATTTAGGATCTTTATAGGATGCCGTCGACCTTCTATGTACACAACTTGAGTATGATCTGGGCCAAGGAAATTTAAAAAAGGCGTTGGATCGATTGTAGCTGACATAACAATGATCTAAGGAACAAGTGAACATGAAACACACTTCGTCAGTGATACTTAACGCATTGACAACTATTTTATCTAGGGCTATGAATCACTCCATAATTAGAAAATATAGAAGAAACTACGCTGGATAAAATGACGATTAACAAACACTAGTCAATCCAATAAATAAACTGAGCTCATGAAAACTTTATTTATAAAAATCTAGAGTAAATCAATGTTGCTTCCGTCAAAACAAACCCTATCTGTTGAATCATAATTATTTCATCTCCGTTTTCATTGTTCGAAACATTTCTGGAAGCAATCAGAAGTTAAGTTTTTTGGTCGCCACACCATTTTGCACCTAATCGTCTCTATGATCATTTAGCATTTTGACAAAGAAAATAAATCGTAGATGGCTGCCTGGTGAGTAAGGAGTGTGATCTAATGTGAAAATCGAGTCACAGACCAGGAGCTTACAGACAGTCACTACTTAATGTGCTAACACATAGTTCTGATGCAGTAGTTATCCATCAGTACCACATAAATCTGTTGGTACACGAGGGTGAAACGCTTGAAAGCCTTCCAGTAAGTGACATTTATTGCTTGTTCTTTATGAAGACGTTTATGGCGTACAGCACCTTAGTAGCCTAGTTTAAGTAATTAGTAGAGAAACCATGTATAAATGTCGAAGACAGATATCGACATGAAAAAAGTCAACAAACAGTCTGGTATTAAATACCATGCCTCCTAGAACTTGTTAAGAAGGATATTTTTAACCTGAATTTAACAGCTCTTTAATTTCAAGCAAGTTTTATAAAGTAACCTGTGCAGAATTCATGACTGATAAGATAAGCCTACAACTATATATACAACTATAACTGTTCGAACACTAGAATTTAAAAAATCACATCAAGGTTTAGTCTGAATACCTGGTGTATATCAGATGTAGGAAAGCAGTAATGACATGTTTTGCGAAGTGCTTTCAAAAATTGATTTCAGAATAGTACATTAAAGTGTAATATAGTATGTATTGTTATTTAAATTGTAATCGATTATAGAACCCGGCTCTATCGATATTTAGATTTAAGCAACAAAGGAGACAATCCAGTACTTAAATATGAAACACACTATGTAATAGTTATAACTAGATTACTCTAGATAGTTTTTCTTAAAACAAATTAGTTTATGTGTTTCCGTCTAATACGTTTATTGCTTTTCTGACATTAGTCTGAATTTCAGTACGCACTTCTAGAAAAATGATATAACTATCGTTTTAGATCGTTCAGATTTGAATAATTTAAATATTTCAGATACCTGTTAGGTTAGAAAAGAAAAGTCAGATGTAATCTAGTGAATAAAGTTGTAAGTTACGAAGCATAGGTCTTTTTCTTCAAAAACCATTAACCTATCATTATATTTTTGAATTATGATCATCAATATGATTTAAGCTACTTGTTTTGTCTTATTCGAGACTTTTTAACTAGATGGTTTATATATATTTTTTATTTAAACACATAAATATTGGTACAAAGAAACACCAGATACATATGCGCCGCACAAATCTCATTCGATTTGTGTGAGGGCTGTGATATTGCCCAGGTGCCCAAACTGAAGCAGGTGGTTTTCTTAGGGGGCCACACCCGGAGCCTTTGATCTAAAAGTCTTATCCACAAGGCAGTGGAGCATCGTAAGATGCAGTGCCATTGTAGCCGGTGATCAATGATTGGTTGATGCACCATTTGTTCCCTCGGGATACTGGAGCCCATGTACACCATTGGTTTGGAATCAGGGTTTTCCAACTCAGCTAGGTAAACTTCCCGTATCCACCAGTCCGGTTAAAGCGGCAGATATTCACTTTTTGTCCTCTCAATTTTGTAAACAACACCACTGTAACGAGAAGGCAATAAGTAGGACTTCCCTGGCAGAGGCTATTTACGCGTGGCCATGAGGGCATTTCGAGAGGGAGAGCGGACTCTCCTCACTATCGGCCGTACCAGGGCATTTGAGAGCGCTAACTAGATGAATGTATCTGCATTTGAATATTAATGTTCAAACAGTAATTTATAACCTTACATATAAATATTTCACAACCTTAAGAGTAAGACTAATTGGGACCGTTCAAGTTATAGTTATAAGGTAAAATGAAGAATAATCATAGCTTTTTCCATTCAGTAGTAGAGACTCAGACAGTTTCGTCCACTATTAAAACACTTAAAATAAAGAATGAAGTAGCCTGTCAGTACATACTAATTTGCATCATATTTTCAAATGATGTTGATTTTCAGTTGCCTTGAATGTCTATAAAAAATGATGATTTGTCAAATAAATATAAGGTTACGGAGTAGTATGGTTTTTAAATAAATGGAATTATTAAATAAATAGAATTACCTTTAGCAATGGAAGAAACCTTTTGTTATTTTGAATATCTTTCCTTAAACCATTTAATTTACTAGGCAGAAGGGTATTATTAGGATTTTCTCGAAGAGAGTGAAGTTTTGAGCGTCTTTTCGCCGCGGATAAAACTACTCCGAATAATATATCAGTATTCAAACTGCGTTCATGAGCTTCATCCAAAATAATAAAACGATAACGTGAGAGATTAGGATCTAAGATAGCTTCACGTAATAGCATACCATCAGTCATATATTTTAAGTGTGTGGACTTGTCACTTGACATATCTTCAAATCTTACACTATAACCAACTGGTCCGATGCCAACAGGACCACGGTCCATTTCATCTGCAACACGTAGTGCAATACTTATGGCAGCAACACGCCTAGGCTGAAGTAGCAGAAAAAGGATGGACTATGGAACTAAACAAATATAAATATAAGTAATGACAGAGTACTTAAACTAGCCTTGTAAATCAAAAACATACATAAACGAAGACAAACCATGATAAGCTTTACACAAACAACTATCTCCAACAAGCAAGTTTTCCATTGTCTCCATTTCAAGAAGGCATAGTATAGATACACCCCAAGTACAGAACTTTATGGACGTAGTTTTAATACTAAACGTTAGGATATAAGATATTAAATAAAGTATACAAATGAACGAGTTGCATTTTCTTCGGACATGTATACATATACACCGATATTGAGGACTTATTTCAGACACTACAGTACTTAATACTTTAAAGCAGGATTCTTTAACTCCGCCTGTAGCTCTTCTAGAGTTACTGCCGGTCCCAAGCCCGGGTAAAGAAGGAGGGTTGGGCATGGGGTTAGCTACCCCATCCCGTAGAAAAGCTAACTCGCTAAAAAAACGCTAACCGGAAAAAATAATTCAAACCATTTAAACTCTACCCTCCGAGTTCAAGGAAGAATTATGACATCTCATGATGAAAGCCGAAATTCTTCGGAAGTCACGAGACCGATGCACCTTCTAACAACCAGAGCAACACTCTTTACAGGTACATGGAACGTCCGGACAATGTGGGAGACAGGAAAGACCAGCCAAATAGCAATGGAAATGAGGAGATACAAATTGGCAGTACTCGGAATCAGCGAAACCCATTGGACACAAACTGGACAACAAAAGCTAGGTACAGGAGAGATGCTGCTGTACTCCGGTCACGAAGGGGAAAATTCTCCACACACTCAGGGAGTTGCTCTAATGCTGTCCAAAGAAGCAAGAAATGCACTTGTGGGATGGGAATCTCATGGACCCAGGATAATCAAAGCATCATTCAGAACAAAGAAGCAAGGGATCACAATGAACGTTATCCAATGTTATGCACCCACCAATGATAGCAACGACGATGATAAAGATCAGTTCTATGAAAGGCTGCAATCAATTGTAGCAAAGTGCTCACGAAAGGACCTCACCATCCTTATGGGAGATCTAAATGCTAAAGTTGGAGTGGACAACACAGGATATGAAGATATAATTGGACGACATGGACTAGGAGAGAGAAATGAAAATGGGGAGAGACTTTCAGACCTATGTGCATTCAACAAATTGGTTATAGGCGGCACAATATTCCCACACAAACGCATACACAAAGCTACATGGATCTCACCGGACCACACCACAGAGAACCAGATAGATCACATCTGTATCAACAAAAAATTCCGAAGATCAATGGAAGATGTGAGAATCCGGAGAGGAGCTGACATAGCTTCAGATCACCACTGGCTGGTTGTGGCCAAGATGAGACTGAAGCTAAAGAAACACTGGACAACTGGACAAACAGCACTACAAAGGTTTAATACAGCCTTCCTTCGAGATACTGACAAACTCCATGAATTCAAGATAACTCTCAACAACAGGTTCCAGGCTCTACAGGATCTACTGAAAGAACAAAAAACTACTTTGGAGGACAACTGGAAAGGGATAAAAGAAGCACTAACTTCAACGTGTCAGGAGGTTCTTTGTCCTAAGAAGCATCATCACAAGGAATGGATCTCTCTGGAAACCCTGGACAAAATTCAAGAAAGGAAGAACAAGAGACTAGCAATTAACAACAGCCGAACACGAGCAGAGAAAGTCAAAGCACAAGCAGACTACGCAGAAGCAAACAAACAAGTGAAGAAAAGCATTAAAGCCGACAAGCAGAAATACATGGGAGAACTAGAAACGACGGCGGAAAAAGCTGCAAGAGAAGGGAATATGAAACAACTATATGATACAACGAAGAAATTGGCAGGGAGATGTAGCAAACCAGAGAGACCAGTCAAGGACAAAGAAGGAAAGACAATCACTGAGATTCAGGAACAGAGGAAAAGATGGACAGAATACTTCGAGGAACTGCTGAATAGACCAGCCCCATTGAATCCACCGAACATCGAAGCAGCCCACACAGACCTTCCAATAGATGTCACTCCACCAACGATCGAAGAAGTCAAGATGGCCATCAGACAAATCAAAAGTGGGAAGGCGGCAGGACCTGACAATATACCAGCAGAAGCACTGAAGTCAGACATTGAAATAACTGCAAACATGCTTCATCTTCTATTCAAAAAGATTTGGGAAGAGGAACAAGTGCCAACGGACTGGAAAGAAGGATATCTCATCAAGATACCAAAGAAAGGAGATCTGAGCAAATGTGAGAACTACAGAGGCATCAGTTTGTTATCAGTACCAGGAAAAGTTTTCAACAGAGTGCTGCTGAATCGGATGAAAGACGCAGTAGACGCCGAACTTAGGGATCATCAGGCTGGATTCCGTAAGGATCGGTCGTGCACAGACCAGATTGCGACACTACGGATCATCGTTGAACAATCAGTTGAGTGGAACTCATCACTATACGTCAACTTCATCGACTATGAGAAGGCGTTTGACAGCGTGGATAGGAGAACATTATGGAAACTTCTTCGACACTATGGAGTTCCTCAGAAGATCGTCAACATTATCCAAAACTCATACGATGGATTACAGTGCAAAGTGGTGCATGGAGGACAGCTGACAGATGCATTTCCAGTAAGGACCGGAGTCAGACAAGGCTGTCTACTCTCCCCATTTCTCTTCCTTCTAGTGATTGACTGGATTATGACGAATTCGACATCTGAAGGGAAATACGGAATACAATGGACAGCTTAGAATCAATTAGATGATTTGGACTTCGCAGATGACCTAGCCCTCCTCTCTCATACACACGACCAAATGCAGATGAAGACAGCAAATGTAGCAGCAGTCTCCGCATCGATAGGTCTCCACATTCACAAAGGAAAAAGCAAGATTCTCAAATGCAACACAGAGAACACCAACCCAATCACACTTGATGGCGAAACTCTGGAAGAGGTGGAAACATTTAAGTACCTGGGGAGCATCGTTGATAAACAAGGAGGATCGGATGCAGATGTAAAGGCGAGGATTGGCAAAGCAAGGGCAGCATTTCTACAATTGAAGAACATATGGAACTCAAAACAACTCTCAACCAATTTCAAGGTCACAATCTTTAATACGAACGTCAAGACAGTCAGTTCTACTGTACGGAGCTGAAACGTGGAGAACTACTACGGCCATCATCAGGAAGGTACAAGTATTTATAAACAGTTGTCTACGCAAAATACTCAACATCCACTGGCCGGATACTATCAGCAACAGCGTTTTATGGGAGAGGACAAACCAGCTTCCAGCTGAAGAGGAAATTAGGAAAAGATGTTGGAAGTGAATCGGACATACATTAAGGAAATCACCAATGTGCATCACGACTCAATCCCTAACTTGGAATCCGGAAGGGAAGCGGAAAAGAAGAAGGCCAAAGAACACACTACGCCGGGAAATAGAAGCCGATATGAAAAGGCTGAATAGTAACTGGAAAGAACTGGAAAGGAAGGCTCAGGACAGAGTTGGATGGAGAATGCTGGTGAGTGGCCTATGCTCCTCCACAAGGGGTAACAGGCGTAAGTAAGTAAGTAAGGATTCTTTAACATTGGTATTATGGCAGTAAATGCTCCGAAGTTCGCCGCAATTAACGAAAACGCTTTATCAATCGAGAAGTTACACATCAATAATAATCACACAGCCAACTTTTAGGACCAACGGGATAACATAATTAGATCACATAAAAAACGGTATAACACATGAATTTATTGATTAAATGACTTTATTCTTTGTGATAAGCACGTTTCTGGTAAGAATGTAGAAATTAAGATTAAAGATTTGTTGTCCCGCTCACTTTGAAACAACAAAGGGATTTTCTTTAAACAAAAGTAGTCAGTTCTACTAGTTAGACGGATCAATAATAAATCGCCAGCTGTAACAGACAAGCATATCTTGGATCATTTGAGCATTAATTTGCAAACAGATATTAAAAACTTGTAATGCAACCGTTGGAATCTAAACGGCTGCATATTGAACTATTAGTTTGCCAAGAAAATAATCCTAATGAGAGGTAAATACAATTTACAGTTGAGTGAAAACATATTCAAGAGCTACCCAATGGTATAGTGGGAATTTCACTAAACGTCTCTGAAGGAAATTTTATAATAGTACTCTGAGTACCTGTCAAAGTGCTTATACAAAGCAACTATGGTAGTAATAGTTGTTAAATAATTAATCGCAATTAAACAGTACTACACTATTACCTGAGTTATCGCAATAATCCCCTCGTTAGTTAAATTCTTTTCATATAAAAACTGAGGGATTTGCGTAGTTTTACCAGACCCTGTTGATCCCACAATAACACAATGTTCACTTTTCATAATAGTATCAATCAATACATCTTTATGTTTCCATACTGGTAAGGATTGTCTAGTTTGCAACAGTTCACTTTGATTTGCAGGTTTCTTTGAAACTGCTAAAGAAAAATAAGAGTCTTACTAACGATCAGATGACAATTAAAGGCTAGGGAAAATCAAATAATAAGGACTTGTATAATAATAAATAACCAACCACTGGTCTAAGAAAACACATAGTGCTAACATTTGTGCAGTCTGATGCTGTTAAAATTGCTAAATTTTTAAACAACAATTTATTTTATTTATTTATTTAAACACATATATATATTGGTACAAAAGGGCACCAGGTACATATGCGCCACACAAAATAATGAAAGTAGGAAGAGTAGGGATGAAAAGATAAGGCGGACTGAAATGTACAACCAGAAGACTCTTTTAGTTAGGAAAGTTAGAACCATTCTTTATGTAGAAAGTAAAAGAAGGTTGCAGCAGGATCGCCACTGGCTTCTATTCTGAGCCATATCTGATAACGTCTCTAGCCACTGTGTTGCACCATCTCTCGGACCCCAGCCAGGGAGTCGTGAGGGACCAACAAAAGCTAGCCCTTAGCAGCTCTCTTTCATGCCACCACACCATGTCATACACTGACCTCCTCTCCGCTTTTTCCAACCAGTCCCAGGGTCGGCAAATAATGCACGACGTGAAAGTCTCTGGGACGACATTCGTAAAACATGTCCAAGCCACCGAAGTCGGTGTTTCAAGATGGTGACACCAATTGAATTATCGTCTCTGCGCCCAAACACACGATGCCGAACTTCTGCATTACTAACATGGTGTTGCCACTGAATGTCAGCAATCCTTCGGAGACAACGATGATCGAACACAGAGAGACGTCTAACATCCTCAACTCGGAGAGGCCAGGTTTCACAAGCATAGAGCAAAACTGCTCTCACAGACGCGTTGTAGATCCGACCTTTTACAGCCAGACTAACATCACGAAGGCGCCAAAGATGGCCCAGATTGGCATAAGCCGCTCTGGCTTTCATTATACGTGCATCAATCTCATCACTCACGCCACCACCAGCACTTATATAGCTACCTAGATACACGAACTTCTCAACTACTTCAATCTGCCCACCATCCAGGGTGAGTACAGGATGAGAATCCTGCCAGTCTTGTAGGAGTACCTTGCACTTGGAGGGTGCAAAGCACATACCGTACCTGCGGACACTGATTGCCAACTGATTAAGTGTGGATTGCATGCCTTGAGCATTATCGCACAGTAAGACAATATCATCCGCATACTCAAGGTCGAGAAGTCGTTCTCCAGGCAACATATCCACACCGCCATTACTTACATCCATCAGAGCTGTTTCCAGGATGTCGTCGATGGCAAAGTTGAAGAGGAATGGTGAGATCGGGCAACCCTGCCTAACCCCACTGCTCGAATGGAACAAAGGAGAAAGGTGGTTGTATGCCCTCACTCTGCCTGAGGTGTTCGTATACAGGGCCTTTAAGATGTTAATGAACTTCTCAGGCACACCCTTCTTCAATAGACAATCCCAGAGAACAATCCTGTCCAACGAATTGAAGGCCGCCCTGAAATCAAGAAACACTACGATTGTTGGCCTGCGATAAGTATGACGGTGTTCTAACATTTGGCGGAGGGTGAAGATGTGATCAATGCATCCTCGACCAGAACGAAAACCAGCCTGCTCCTCGCGAGTCAATAGTTCTCGGGTTTTAAACAACCTACGAAGAATGATAGAAGCCAATAGTTCGGACGCAATCGAAAGTAGACTTATCCACCGATAGTTATTGCAGGAACAACGTGAACCATTTTTAAAGATAGGGACGACTATCGACTCATTCCACGATGTTGGAACACTTTCTTGTTCCCAAACCTTTCCAAACAACACGGAAGTAAGTCATCTGGGCCCGGTGATTTGTAACGTTTCAAGAGTTGGAGTTCCTTGCGGACTTCCGCCTCGTTTGGTGGATCAGTCGTCACCGGCCATGAGGGGCGGGACAAACTGGTTGATGTTGCCGGAGCAGCAGGCCAGTTGAAATGCCCTTCGAAGAATTCCGCCCATCGTCCAAGACGTCGACAGATGATAGTGATTGGCATCCCATCATCCTCGTAGATTGTTTCACTCACACCAGACTTCTTGCTGCCAGTGGATCGGATGAGTTGGAAGAGCTTCCGGCAGTTACCAGATGCAGCTGCTGCTTCCATCTCATTAGCATGCTCCGACCACCAGGCTTCCCGGTCCTTACGCAAGCTTTACCCGATTTCATTACGTAACAGCCTTCGTTTGTGGTCAAACTCACGGTCACCCAGAGTAGACCGACGGGCTTCCATCAGTTGTAAGGAGCCAGAAGAAACCCAGTGCTTGTAAGCGGGACGTTTCGCGAAGCCGCAAGCGGCTTTACTCGCCATTTTCATGGCGTCGTGAAGAAGCAACCAATGCTCATCTACACTTTTCGGTGGGATGGTAGCTAGCCTAGAGGCTAGCTCCGCTCGATACTTACTTGCAACAGAAGTTGCAGCCAGTTTACTAATATCAATCCGTTGGTGGTGGTCAATCCTTCGGCCACTGAAAAGTAAGGTGAGATTGGCGCAGACCAGGGCATGATCAGACTCCAGATAGGTACTCCAAAAGGAGCGGCAGTCTTGTACACAACCACGCCAGCGGTAGCTGATCGCGATGTGATCAATATGAGTTCAGGCTTGGGATGCAGAGGGAGGACTCCAGGTGGCACACCGACGATGACTGTGCCGGAAGTTAGTGCTGGCCAGAAACAGGTTGTGGTCTGTGCACAGTTGCAGCAAACGGTCCCTGTTATCTGTCCTGCGACCAACAAGTCCCCATCGGCCACCTAAACGACTCTCTTCTGTGCCTAGACGCCCGACCTGTGCATTCAAGTCTCCGGCTAGTACTACAATATCTGTCGAACGCGCTTTCTGGAGAAGAACTGTTAACTGATGGTAAAACTCATTCTTGATTGCATCCGGAAGCTTAAAGACACAACGACGCTCATATATCAGTGTGCACGATGGTTTACCTGATAACTCAACTTGCTACTCAAGTGCAATCTCAGCGAAACTACAGTTCACTGGCGACCTTTGGGCGATGCCAGGGTGACCTTGAGCATATCCACCTATTAACTAGAACGAAATTAGGGTTATAAACTAGTGTGAGGAATTAGAATTATGATTTACAGTTGACGGTTAGGGTTAGGAATTGACATCAGATAAAATGCCAAAGCACTATTTGGCTAAAGGGATGAATAAATTTAGCGCCAAAATTCTATATCTGTTCGGTTAGTATATAAATTATAGTCTCGCCTCAATCTCAATGCGAGACGACCACTGCTATACAAATCTTAAGATAAAAACCGCAATGAAAGGCGAATACCTGAGTAGTGATGTCCCTGGTATATATATATATATATATCGCTTGTTTATCCAGCCTCGATGAGAAGCAGAACATTTCCAAATTATTACATTGAAATTCGGATAAGGCAGATTAAGAGGTGATCTGATCTTGATGTATAAAGCACTAAGAGATAACTTTGGACCTAAAATATCCTCTTTTTTTCCTACCAGATCGTGACGTCACGATCCCCTTTGTTCGCCTTTATTGGTTGTTTGGGACAAGAACAAAAGTTGGTAGAAAAGCCAATAACGAACATAATACTCGTGGCACACACGTTTTTGCACTGTGTCATTAGTTCCCGGGACTTGTTATTTGAAGCAAGAGGAAACTAAACACTCAAAGAAGCTTGCTAGATAAGAAATAACATAAGCCGCATGCCTTCTGTCCTTACTGCACGAATCTGAACCTGAAGAATTAAACCCATGAAAACCTTTGATGAATACGTTACAAAAAAATGAAGCCCGTAGAGAATAAATACTAATACAAATGGAGTACTGGACTAATTTTCGATAAAACCAACAGCATACCCTTCATCTCATAAGGGTGGCGTAAACAAATGCATTCGGCGCTTTCACGTATGACCTTGAAAGGACGAATCACTTCAGATAACTAAATGGTTCGAAAAGTTCCCAGTGGTCGGACAATATATATATTAATATGATATATATTAACCTAGACATGTGCCTAAGAGTAGTAGATCACTATATTTTGTTTCTTGAAGAACACTGTTGCTCAACTAGTTTCAAATGGCTCCTGATGAAATAGATGAAGATATTGCTTAGCGGACTACTGCATCTATTAGCAGTGAGTCACCGGTGTGGCCAGGCAGGAGCCTAGGTATATTAAGGGATAAAAGAGAAAAAATGTACTGGTAAATTATAGCTTGGTCCTTAAGAATATATAATGTTTTCTCTTAAAAGATTTCTAGGTAGTGGCTTGGACTAAATCATCAGGCAACGAATTTTAGCATTTGACCACTTTTAATGTGCAAAAGTGTGTCTACCGTCCTATTCGCTATTAGGCGTCTCCGATTTTGTGCGCTATTACAAAGATTTGTATTGGGACTGAGATTAAACGGGTATTTGAAGGGATGCGCAGAGGTGTCTGTGATACTGTATATCATTATAAGGTCACCTCGGAGCTTATGTACTCCGATAAATAAAGGTTAATTGATTGGAGGAGCTCTTCATAAAAGTGTGGAGCATTATTTTTCGGCATATTTTCAATGAGGCAAGCTGCTACTCGTTTGTCGAAACATACATGTACAATTAATACGTATGTAAGCTTTGTGGATGGTGGAAGGCAGCCGAAAATATCCGTATTCACAGGTCCACCAACCTTATTATCTAATAGTGAAAACTGTAAGCATTTTTGTGATGTGACTGTCTCTACGAATCTACTCTTGTTGACATGGGATCAATTTATTTCCTCAGTCTGCGTTCATTCTCGACCGAAAAGAGATTTCCTTATAAGTGTTACAGAAGATGGTTTACGTGAGTATGACAACGAACAAAGTTGCTTATAAACTATTCTCCCGCAAATCGATTGGCAAAGCGATAGTCTCTTCCACTAGACTCAGCTCGCATAGTGATAGAATAAAATAAATGAATCGAAATGTGTCGAAATACCAAGCATGACTTCTATATATTTGCAATTGAGATCCATTGACTGACGTGAAATTTTGGAGATTCCTCTATGTCATGATCTTTCTTATGCAACGTTGTTTTAACTTCACTTGAGGATAAGCATTCGCTACAACAACTTGATATTGTCAGTGGCCTTGACAATATGGTCCTATGGTCTGGTTTCAGGAGGGGATGATCGTATTACTTACCTGTGATAACTAGAATTGTTACACGCCCTTACGACTTATATTATTCTTTCCAGTTGTTTTCTCGGTTATATCTGAGTCCACTAGCATGAAATCAGGGTCACCCTAAAATCACCAGACAGGACATTCCTCTGAGATTGTCTGTTGAGGAAAAGTACTTCCGGGAAGTTTGTTAACATATTGAGATATCTGTATACAAACACCCGAGGTATATTGAGTGAGAGAATACAACCACCTCTTTCGATTGTTCAATTTAAGCGGTGCGGATAGGTTATGTTGTCCAATCTCAACATCCTTCTTCAACCACATAGTCGTCCGCGGACCCCAAGTCACGGAGAAACCTCGCCGACTGGCATCGGACAAATTAGCTTTCGCTAAACGTGGGTTTAACAACTTACTAGCTACTGGTATTATACGTCCTTCTCACAGTCCCTGGGTCTCACCTCTCCACATGGTTCGCAAAAGGAATGGGGTTAGTTGGAGACCATGTGGCTACACGTTTCGATAGCTACGCCATCCCCCACATACACTGCATCACGGCATCTTCCAAGGGCACGACCATTTACCTAAGATCGATCTTGTACGAGCAAATCATCAGATCCCAGCCGCTCTTGAAGATATTGATAAAACCGCTACTACGACTTCTTTCGGTTTGTTTAAGTTCCTAAGAATATCATTTGGATTACAGAATGCTGCTCAAACTTTCCAAAGATTTATAGACAGCATAGTACAAGACTTAGATTTTGCTCACATATATATTGATGATCTGCCAATCGCATCATCAAACGTAGATGAACATTATAAGCACCTAACACTACTATTCCAGCGCCTTTCGGATAATGGAATAATAGTCGACCTGGACAAGTGTGAACTTGGGAAACCGGAAACAAAATTCTTAGGTCACATTATTATGCTAAAGGGTGTTTTACCTTGTGAGAACAAAGTATGTTCAATAATGGAGCACACCGTACCGTCCATACCCAAAGAACTGAAGTCATTCAATGGTTCGGTTAACTTCTACCGACGTTTCATCTCACACGCGGCAGAACGGTTCTGACCATTAACCGACTTCCTTCGCGTTAATCCACACAAACTAGAATTGAACGATGCCGCGGGTGCTTCATTTTCAGAGATCAAAACTGCTCTAGCCCAAGTCACACTCCTCGTTCATCACGATCCATCAGCTAAGCTTAACATTGCGGTTGATGCATCGGATTTCACCATTGGAGCCGTTATGCAAAAGAACATCTCGGGAAGTTGGCAACCTCTCGAATTTTTCTCACGACGCCTCACTCCCACGGAGACGAGATATGGCGCGTTTGGTCGTGAATTGCTGGCAGCCTACTGCGCCATCAAACATTTCCGGCACGCTGTAGAAGGTCGCAATGTCATCCTATTCACCGATCATAAGTCCTTAACGCATGCTCTGCATACCAAGTCTGACCGTTACTCACCACGGGAGTGCAGAAATTTGGACTATATCTCTCAGTTATAGACAGACCTTCGTCACGTTAAAGGAGAGTCGAACTATGTTGCCGATGCTCTGTCACTTATCCAAGTGAATGCAGTTACTTTACCGGTGCTTGACTTCCCTGCTACATCTGTCACCCAAGCAAGTGGTCGTTTTTATACGGCAGCACAACATTCTATATCCCTTTAGTGACTGGAAGTACCCCTAGCTACTAGCTCAGATACTATCCTGTGTGATACACTTACTGGTCTTCCCCGATCCGTCGTACCCTCTGCTTATGGTCGTCTCGTCTTCGATCCCCTGCATGGACTGTCTCGTCCAGGTATCCCAGCCACAGTATGGCTCATCGATGCACGATACGTCCAGCCGTCCATGAATAAAGATGCCCGTACGTGGGCATAACATTGATTACAATGCTGACGATCAAAAGTGCACATACATGTAGCTGCCCTCATTGGCACGTTCACTACGCCTGATGCTCGCTTTGATCACGTTCATATGGACATCATGTCTATTACGGTGGGGATAGTTGCTCACCACTTGGTAGAACGATGGAAAGCGCTGTACAGTTGTCCCTCGACTGTCATGTCTGACCGAGGACAACAATTCGAGTTCGGACCTTTGCAACAACCTTACGGAGGACCTTTTCAGCCGATTTCCCACCACGGAAAGACCTTCAAAGTTGATCGGCATGGCCGCGACGAGATAGTCGGCAGTGATCGTCTCAAGCCAGCACACGTCGATGACAGTCCCCTACCCGATAAGCCGAGACTCAATGCTAGACTCATCAAACCTTCTAGCGGGATCTCTACATCTACTTCGGAAACTACTCTGAATACATCAGAGACCTCATTCCCACATCTCAGTCAACAGCATGTGTCACCTGCACCATCTACGGACGAGACTTCAGTCTCTTTTTTATGTTGGTTTGTTCTCTGAGCTGGATGGTTTGGTCGTGGAGCTTTCATCGTCCTTCTGAACGACATCATCAGCACAAACTTCGGGTAGAAGTGAAGTGTTTGAATTTCTCCACATGTGATTCACAGCTTGTCCTCTGCACCTCGATGTTGATTGGTTCTTATTGACCTTAAATCTGTCATTGTTTATTTCTTTGTTTTGAGACTTCAGTCTCACGTCCAGATCAGCAGACCAGACCGCCCTTGACTTCGGATGAGATTGTAGTCTCACGAGAGTATCGGTTCACGTTCCGGTCGACAAGTACGCCGACCCGTAGGCTTTCGCAACTAACTTCTCGACGAACAACGGTTACGGTATAGGACATATCCTTATACTACATGCATCCTACACCTTTCTCTTTTTACTTTGATTTTTCTCTTTATCCTTAGTCCACGCCTCCGACCTATAGGTACCGTCGACTTCAGCCAACTTTGGTGAAAGCTTGCCTGATCATTCACGCTTTTGTTAATGTACTCAGTCGATGTTTTCTGGCTGTGAATACGTATGGCATACATTTGGTCCCGAACATGGTTATTATGTTCGCACCTGGTTTCTTGGCTCATTGTGGTTCCGTCCTATGTCTTCAGCGTTTTCTGTTCCTCATGCATACTAACGCAGTCTTCAGATTTTGGATAAAAACCCTTCTAGTGTGACACGCTAACTGAAACAACAAATACAGTGAGTTTCTCCTGGTACCGTCCTACGAAAAATACACTTGGTGGCAATTAGAGGATCAACGATCGCTTCCTGTTCTGCCAGTGTCTTCGTCCTGCAACCGCACATTTACCAGTCAGTCCCACGAACGGAACCGCTACGTTTTGTAAGTGTGGACCCCTTCTAGTGGGGAGCTCCTTTAGTGACCTACTTTTGTGACGAGAACGCCGTTAGTATAATGGAAATTATTATTATAACTGATTGTACCAGTGATTGTTTTACTGTACTCGTTTGTTTAAGTGTACCAAAGACACATTTCTTTCCGCTGCCTGTGACCTTGCACGAGCCTGAGTACGCTCGGTAGTTCCGGTTGTAAACTTTGACACGTCTCGGCTTTCTTTTGATACCACGAGATCGACAACAAATATATCTTATTGCAACCATGATCAGCCTTCTGGTTTCTGGCTTACCGAGGGAACCAACTCGATATCTGGCATGTAATCTTCTTGTAGTGGTGATCATAGTCAATAGCCACTCGACGCCATCAACAAAACCAGAGGAGTCCTGACGAATCATTTTGTGGAGTTTTCCTCCTTTACAGCATTCGAATTTTGTACACTTTATATGGTCTAGTAGTAGTTACACGAGAGTTGCATATGGAAGTGAGATAAACTTTCCTTGGAATGCCAAAAAATTTCAATTAGCTGTAGGCTCCTTTTGCGATGCATATAAGGAAATGAGCAACAGTACTGACATCCTTAACATCTTCCTTGGTCTTAATCCAGATTCCAAACCTTAGGGAGAATCAGAACATTAATGTATATCCAACCGTTTCATCACATGCTCTATGGCAACGCCAATGTGATGTATGATTAAAAGTATTAGAATTAATTTACGAACTAGAAATTCCCGGAATGGCGCAATATATGACAAGTGGAAGTAGGCGAGCACAAAGTAACGTATTGTATTTGGAATCCGAAATCAAAGTCATCAAGTACAAATGAATCATCAGTTCATACAAACACCACATGGATTCATTTCAAGAGCTGAAAATCTCACGGAAACTATTACCCAAATATCAACTAAAAATACAAAATAGTCATTCTAGCTACAATAGTCAATAATGCAGATCAATTTACGAAAGTTCAGACAATCTAGGCAGTTTTGTTGATACCAATAGAATTTCAGTGCTAAATCAATCCGATACAGTCAATCGCGCACCCGGCCAAAACAGACACCCAAAAATATGTAAATTAACAACGCTTCTCAGACCGCAGTATTGAAGATTTCAATTATTAACCTGGTGAAGTTCACACAAGTTTGCTAGACGAAACGTCGGGATTATTTAAACTTCAGCTGCTGAGATTATTTCAAATGTAATTTTCACCTATAATGACTTTAGAAGGGATGCATAAACAGTTGCTTGCTTGGTGTTAGAGACAAGAATCTCACATGAACTTTTTATTTGGAAAAAGTGAGGTTCTCATTATCATTTTCCAGAATAAACGCGAGATGGGACAACACTTAAAGTTACTAATGATTCAAAAAGGCGTAGTTTGACCAGAAAACGTTAACACTTGGTTTTAGGTTGAAGTGACAATTCCCTTGATTGGATAACTGGGCTCAATTGCTAAGCACATAACACGATGAGCACTCGAAGCTAAGGGAACTGGATTTAAATCATACAGTAAACCTTTTAGATACAAATGAATCGCCTCAAAGAGTCTGAAATAGCACGAACTGAATTTTCCTGCGAAAAATGTTTCATAAATATTTCGCGATTCTTCTGTGTCAAATTTAGGTATCGAGATACTTGGAATAAAATTCTTAGCAAGTTACGAATTTATAGTTGACCCTAATAAACGTCATTTGACTTTTCAAGTAACGCTGAGTTAAAAAATAGGAAATTCAAGTAATCTCAGTAAATTTAGAATCTACTTGCTGCAGCTTCAAGGTTCCTAGAAGTACTGGAAATATCTTCAAACTTAAATGAAATCAAATTTTCGGCCCCTGAAAAGTAAGCTAAAAGTGTCGCACACTTAAAATTATCGAGGCTCGATACAGCCGCATGCCTCAGCTTGGCATTATTTACTTCACTTAAAGTTTATAAACGTTTTCGTTACGCGCATTCTCCAAGAAAAGTGAAAGCAACAGGTAACCACGTGAAGATTACAAATCCCTTATCAGCCTCAGAATAATGCCCATTATTTCGCATCTTAGATTTCACAACATCCCAGTAAGAGATAAATATAATCCTTTTTGAGTTACCATTTCGGCTGAGAAACTCTGCTCAAATACTGAGATGTATTAGGAACAATTTACTTCGGGATATGCTCTTCAGATAATTGTACCCTGATAAACTAATAATTAACGGCCTTAAAACCCGTGACAGAAAGTCAAAAGATGTTACTGATTTTCATTAATATCAGGAAATTAAAGCTACTATTTACCGATGAAATGACTACGCAAAAATAACATATCCACAAGTTGCTTGTCACTTATCACATACACGTAACCAGCTGTGCAATTAGTCACAATGTAGTCCATAATCCTTAACTTCCACCTATCATAAAACCCCCACTTAAGCCTATCTGTTCTGTAGTTTTATCTTCTGATAACTATTCAGCTATGAATGTAACTTATTTAACGAGCACAAGTTTATGTAATTGACTTTGAGAAAGTTTGTTGGTGAGGGAGAGGGGTGAACTATTCTGTCAGTTACAACCAGGTAGGTGGAATGTGATTTGAACAGGCAGCCTACTAGTTGAAGGCTTTAAATGATAAGCCACCAGTCCCAGTTACCACATTAAATTATCAGCTCAATAACTTCAGTTATTTTAATAATATTGTGGTGTGGTCTACTTATATCTATATAAGTAGTATATGGTGATGGTCAGACATAGAGTGTATTCTGGCAGAAGACCGATAAGGAAAAAAATGAAATAAAACGCAATCGGTAGGAAAATGCATGAACAATGGAATTACAGAAGATGAACTGATATTTAAAGAAGGAACAGTGAAGATTGAGACAATTGGTTGTTGTTTCCCAAATTAATTGTTTGCTGTATGGTTATCAGAATTTAGTGAGATTATGTCTAAATGCATCCGATTGTTCCCAATCGTGTTCCCATTTACAACAATATCATCAAATCATCAATTATCCCATTATTCTATCAAAGATTTTCAAACAATAGTATCCTTTATAGAGAGATTAACATTAAACAAAAGTTAATGTATGAATAAGATTTCTTATTCGTTAATTTAATTACATTGTACTGTATTTAAAGAAAAAAAAAGGAGATCAGCTATTATTATATAAATCAAATTTGAAGACTATTACAGAAAATATTCGCAGTAAAAAAATATAATAAGTAGAATCAAATTAATATAAGTACTACAAAATTCATAATAAATAAGGAGAAATTATAAAATCATACCTGCATAGCAACAGTGTGTGTATGTGTGTGTATACATATATAATTGGGAAGCCGTGTGAGATTGCAAACAGAATAGATGTGAGTTACATAGATAATAAAAAAATTTTTTTGCTTTTTTATTTGATATAAAATAAAAGCGGCATTTTTATATCTAATTAGATAAACAACAACAACAAAAAAGTCTATATTTAAAATTTGTGTAATTAGCAAATCTGCTGCCATAGTGACACTATATATTATAAAGCATAATAATAATAATAAATTTAAAATTTTTTTTTGGTTTCGTTGTTTGTCTGTTTGTTTTTCCTTTTCTATTTAAACAAAATGTAGTACTAAAAAAAAGGATTCAACAAAATGAAAATTCAGAAATATAAAATATCTATGTTTATATATAAATCTTTTAATACTGGAAATTATGGATGATATACTCATAGTAAAGGGAGAGGTATGAAGAAAAAATATGTATATATATATATATGTAAGAGCAGTAATTGAGTGAAAAATCTACTGTTATCATGTTCTAGTAGTATGATTAGTGTAAATTGAAGAACAAATACTGAATTTGTGTTGATTATGTAACTGAATTATAATTGATATCAATGTCTATATATTTATCCATCAAATACTGACTACATTACCATTATTATCTCTATCGTTGTCGCCAATATTATTATTATTATTATCATCGTCATCATCATCATCATCATCGCTAGATGTTGAACTGAACTCTTCATGTTTATTGATTGTTATTACTTTTCGAAGTTCAGGCTTAAGTTGAACTGATGGATTATTATCATTTATAATATTTGATTGTTGTTCATCTGATAAAATATTTTCCACTTGAGTTATTTTACTTTCTTCATCATCATCATTAGAGGGAGTTTGTGATAATTCGGTGTCAGTAACCTTAATTGATAGAATGGAAATATAAAAATATAATGAATTAATAAAAAAATTGAGTAAAAAGCAAAGAACTATCCATAATAAATACAATAAAATATCATTTGTTAAAAGTGTGATTAAGTGTCGATAGTCTGTATACAGATCAGACTATGGAGAGAAGGAGAGGACAAATCAGCCTCCAACTGAAGAGGAAATTAGGAAAAGACGTTGGAAATCACCAACGTGCATTACGAGGCAATCCCTAACTTGGAATCCGGAAGGGAAGTGGAAAAGAGGAAGGTCAAAGAACACATTACGCCAGGAAATAGAAGCAGATATGAAAAAGATGAATAGTAACTGGAAAGGAAGGCTCAGGACAGAGTTGGATGGAGAATGCTGGTGAGCGGCCTATGCTCCTCGACGAAGGGTAACAGGCGTAAGTAAGTCTGTATACAGATCTGATAAACTCTAGTTTGAACTAATATTCAATTGTATACAGATAAACATTCGAACCAAAGTAGAGTAGAGCAGGATTCAAATGCAACTGAATCTGTAACCACTTAATGAGTGTAATAACACTTAAAAATTGTTGTTTCATAACATTTATTTTGAAATATGCCCAAGTTGATACATCAATCAATTATGAACCATTGCCTATCACGTAAGAATTCTGTTTTCCAATTACCTAAGCTTGGTTTCGGTGGCCAGATACTAATAACCTTTAACTCACTAACTCGTCCTCTCGATTTCACAAAAAGCACTCTCACATTGGATAGAACTCCCTTGGCATTGGGTATATACGCATGACCATAGAAGAGCAATTCAGGAGAGAGCGAGCGGTTTCAACACACCTTCGATCTTACCAAGGAATTCGGGGGCTTTTCCTAGTAAGTAGGATTCACCTGAGTGAGATGGAAAACTCCGATTCCAAATCAATGGTGCACATGGGTTCCAGGTTTGGGCATACGAACAGTATCCCAGCCTACATATAAATCTAATGATAACTACTTTATGTGGTGAGTACATATTTTGGTGCCCCTTTGTATCAACCAATGTTTATATGATTAAAAAAATAGAAGAAAATATTTAAAAACAACCCGTGTTTAAAGCCGATTACACGAATATGTATTCAATTACAGTGAGTTACAGTCAATAATCAATACATTGATGTTACCACAAATAATTAAGCTATCATGCTACAGTGGTTAAATCATTGACCATTGGAAAAAAACATGTCACAATGCGACTCAATCAGTTTATGATTTTAGTTTCGAAAGTCTATGCAAAATTATAATTAATTATGACAATAAGTAATGGATACCTAATCATAAGTAACAGGACAAATTGATAGTTAGATGACAGATACAGCAGTAAATATAAAGATAATAGCTAAGAGTATACTTTAACAATAAGCGAATCACAATAGAGAACATGACCTCTAGGATTTTGTGCAAAATTCAGTCATCATCTACAACGAGCAGTAGAAACACCTGCACGTACTTCTCAAAACGTCTAAACTAATAATGTAAAATTATATTTTGTAACCATAAGTCAAACGTAGCAAACAGCTAATTCTATTTTTTAAGATTGAATCTAACAGGCAATGTGACACTATCCCTAAACCCTTAATTCTGAAACAAAATTGAACTTGGTGGGACTACATTTTATGAACAAACTAATCCTCTTACAAGCAGAGATGGCTAGTGGCTAGCAAGGGAATCTAGGATGCGCCTTTCGTCCTATTTGGAACTTGTCATCTGGATGTACCTGCTTCTGATAGTTGATGTTCACTCTGGAACTCGAACTCTGAGATGCAGGTACATCCAATTGACAAGTCCCAAATAGGACGAAACGCGCGTCCTGGATTCCACTGCTAGCCACTATCCATCTCTGCTTACCGTGCTTGTGAATTAAGGTTATATCGAGGCAATATGCACAGTATGCACATATGCCAATTAGAGACTGACCAGTTGTCGTCCTAAACACATCGATGGGAAGATTCAAACAAACAATACTAAATGAATTTAATCCTCTTATATTTTTGAGAGAAATTCATTCATTTTAAAAGGCTATTGAGTATTTTTGCATTTGTAGCTAATGTTAGTTCGTAATGAAAACCGTAACCCTGATTCGAACCAGGGACAATGAGAGAATTCTTAAAAATCTATTTCAGTTCTTATTATAAGGGCTTGAAAATACGAATAATCTACACCCAATGGGATGAACTTATGTGTCTTTATTATTTATTTTACATTTACAACCAGAGTCAACTGTAGAAGATATGAATAAACTTAATGATTGTGTAAAATCTGTTACCCTTTTTTAGTATTACTATTTTCTTTATTAAAAACTACCTCTTTGTAAAACCTGTATTCTGATTGGCTAGAAATTAACTGGAAATTTGTCATGATTGTTTTAAACTTGTCCTTGTACTATATTATCAGAAGATAATAAACATTATAATAATATGAATAAATATATCGATATTAGGAAAGAAGACCAAAATTGTTGTGCCCCAATAATAACAATAGTGAATGGCAACTTTGGGATCCATTTATGGACCAATATTATGAATATAATTTTGATCGTATATTTGTTAAATAATTAAACTACTCATATTTATGTTTCTTTCATTGTGAGCTTTATGTTTACCATTGGACTATTATTGTACGATTTACCATTCCTGAGTTATACCGAGTCAATTAATTACTGCTCCCCCTATTCAAAGCCACATTTGGCTAACTCTTGTACAAATGTTATTTTCCATTTTATTGGTACGTTGTGGTCAGCCTGTTTGGTATATAAACTCAGTATGTTTGAAATACAATGATTCATACTGCAGTGGCTGTTATTGGTGTTCTGGACTTAACAGGCAGGGTTAGGTAGAAAGCAGGACCGATTAGCACTCTAGACTTGTCGTACGGTTTTCGTGTGTCATTGTTCCAATCGATAATTCGCTGCTCTCTGATTGGCTGTCTTATCAAGTCATACATTAACTAGGCATCTACTCGGCCGCAAGATATAACAAAATAGAAGAATATAAACTTATTAAAATAAGAACCAACAAATTATCTAATGAAAGTGCATGTGAATAATTAATTTAAGTGAATAGCAAAAAAGAGTGAAGAGAAACACATAGAAAGAAATGAAAAACTGCTTATTGGGTTCTCACTAGTCAAAGAAGGGACACGGATATTATAAATTGTTTTTTAATATAAAGACTAGGATTGTTAGCTCGAATCCTTAACATTTCCGCTATATGTATGAGAAATTTTGAAGGTATTTTAAACGATTACTTTGAATGCTTTGGTGGTATCTACTACATGACGACTATTGATTACTTGTAATGGACTGGAGATGTGTATCCATTTTACTCAACCATTTTCAAACCATAAAGAGAGATGCACGTTAGTTTGTTGTTTAGTCGTACATCAGATAAAACTTTTTAAAAAGAAACAGTTGAATAAACAAATACACATAGATGTTACCAAACAAAGTAACTTATCATCTAGTTGAGTAACCATTAGTATTCGAATAGAAAATAGCAAGCAGAAGTTAGTTGCATTAAAAATTATTTTCACTGCTTTGATAAATCTACCGTGTACTACATTGATAGCTACCTGATCGTTAAATTGTAGCTTCAGGAAGAGACAATTCATACAAATGATACTATGGTACAATTTAGTCATTATGATTTAGTTACCTAACGACTGATACTCTGATTGGCTTGATTGGTTTAACTACACCTAATCTAAGTACTTACTTGATCCTCCTCAGCTGTAGTTTTAACACTAAGAGTAGGTTGAGGCAATTCATGGTTATCAGTGTTATGATTTGATTTCGCTCGATGCTGATGATGACGAGTAGACATTTTGTTCACTAAATAACTATCGACAGACTCGGATGGTGTATCAAGCTCCGGTATTGGTGGATGCTGGAATTCATGTTGAGCACGTCGATGTTTTTCGTATATTCGTTGAGTGATAGAATAACGATCACGCCCTGAAAGAGGATGATTTGATGAATTCCCATTGCAAATACTTGGAGGTCGAGCAAGTCTAGATGCAGATTCAGTCGATGCTTCAGAAATGACAGATCTTGACAAAGCTGACGATCTTGAAGATGGTGGTAAATCATGTATACCAAGAGCACTAAGGCTACTAGATCCAGGTATAAAAGGTGAACCGTCAGTGCAAGCTGATTGGTGGATTTAAAATAGGGAAACAGAGAGGAACATAAAACAAATCAATCGAATACAATGACTAGCATTACATAACAATGCACAGAAATAAAAAATCTAAGTAAATTACATTTGCAGTCGATGCTTTTAGAATTTACTTTTCTGAACTCATGAAGACAGCTTCTAGTATAGCTAAGCAAAGATACAGAATTACAACAGTAAACAGCTAGTCTGTCTAGGTTAAAATAAACCAATGGAGTTCAAACAGGTCGGATATGAGGCAGTTACCCACTGAAGACAATAGATAACTGTCCCAAAATATCGTGAACTGATTTGCAGTAGTTCGATTCTCAGTAATAAGGTCGTGGATGCTCACTGTTGAGGAATTCCATACTAGGACTTTACAGCTGTCCAATGCCTCCTCTTTTTTAGACGGTGTCTAGACGGTATCGGCTCATAATATTATTATCATTCAATAATATCCACAAACCTGTATGTTGATTCAATTATTTTTCTGTTCATTTAGATTTAAACACTTTACTATAACAATCAACTACAAGTTTATCATCATTTATTTGAGGCATTTTATGCATCGAAGTATCTCTGATTGGAATTTTACTATGATTATTAGTCGCATTATTATTTCTTCCATCCTAGATTACATATATTTGTTCCCATTATTAATCTCTCAATAATTTAATTCAAGTATATGCTAAATGTATTACTGTAGTGAACGGAAACATAGGAGTGGGAAACCAAATGTATTTCAGTAAAATCTGAGAACTATACAGTAAATACTTCATCTGCAAAATGTCCATCAATTGTCTCAGACTTTGTTGTTCCTTCATTTTTATACCAATCACTCTCTGTTCTCATTCTCTTCGATTTTCCCAACCTTCTGATACAATGAATTCCACTTTCGATCGGTGATACATACCACTTATACCTTACGACATTAGTAGCACACACCACATTACTAAAAACTAACAAACCTATTTTACTAACAGTTATTAATTTAATATTTTAGTATTTTCAAAAATACATTTTGCCATTATTTTGGCCGATTTTCCTGATCATCAGTTTAAAAGTATGCATAGCCATAGAATTAGAAGCTAGAATTTATTGAAAAGAATATTTCTGAACACATACAGATATGTGTGCTAGTTTATTGAGAGACTATGAGAGACATAAAGATCTTTTATTGAACAGGGACGGAACAATTGTTTAGTGTTTTTTAGTTTATTAAACTATGACGAAAATCAAAGATGGATAGTGGCTAGCAGTGGAAACCAGGACGCGCATTTCGTCCTATTTGGGACTCGTCAGTTGGATGTACTTGCAAGCCACTATCCATCTTTGCTTATAATGCTTGTGAATTAAGGCAATACGCACAGTATGCACATATGCCAATAAGAGACTGACCAGTTGCAATCCTAAACATCAATGGGAAGATTCAAATAAACAATACTAATATGATGAAAATCATTAACAAATTTGATTTCTGACTGATCGTAGGATCAACGCAGTAAATACAACATTGATGATTCATTTGATTTTGTTGTTTCAATATCATGTGTGTCAACGTACCCGGAAAAAAAGATAACGTCACTAGATATTGTCTCTCTCTCTCTATATATCTATTTGATTATACTCAAAATAACCGTTACTTCTATTTTTACATACTTGATCTATATGGAATGCTTAATTCATAGGCCCATCCACAAGGTATCCAACATGGTTGACGTTCCAACTTTGAAACAAGACGACTTAATTTCTCAACACTTTCTTTCATATTTTTATTAACTAATATATGTGAATATAAATGACGATAAATCACCGACATTGACATTGAATCTTTTATAATGGAATGTAATTCCTCATCCTGAAATAAGACGTATTAAATAATTAGATACAAGTAACAATTTACACTATCATATTTAAAAATTGCCAGTAATGGATGTCATTAAATTGATAATTAACAATTATGCACAAAAGTTTATTGACGTAATATTGCGCAATTTTTGGTTCACATGATTGGTATGCTTTGGTTAAACAACCGGAGATTGCTGAGTACTTGATTTAGTTCAATCTAGAACTTTTTATTTAGTCTGCCATCAAAATCTTCTCATGGATCGAATTGAAGATCTACTCTTCAGATCTAGTTGAGAGCGGGTTTACCTCTAGATCATTGATTTGTCATTCACTGGTACATCGTTTCAAATTCACGGAAGTCAAACAACGTTGTACAATTATCAACAATTACTAACAGTATAAATGATCTCATGTTTGAAATACTGAAACTTAATAGCTTATAACTGCTTCTTACTATAACTTTGGGATACGTTCAGAACTTAGTCACACAAGTGAATTCAAATGTAGGTGCGGAATGTTCCACGTGCATTTTAGAGTCTATAACAATTATATATATATAAAGATGAATTTATGCATAGTAACTAATTTAGAAACTTAACTGAGTCAACGATGCTTCGTCTATTGGCAACTAAAAGTGAGTAGTTTGGATAAATATTGATTCATAAATAAAAAAGAAATGTACTGATTAAATTTATAAATCAACAAAAACGGTTTTAAAGTGATTTTCCAGTTTATGTCATCTTGTCAATTTTCAGAGTGTGAAAAATCTATACAAAATCAGTTTCGTATATCATAAACATAGTGTTATATCTAGAGCTTTGGTTCTTACTATGCCGCGTACTACTAGACTACTTGAACAACCGAACACGTAACGTCACAAGAGAGAAGAGAAAAGACTAGGAAATAGGAAGTTTATTCCCCAAAACTGTCAAAATATAGTACAGAAATCTCATGTATTTATAGTTTTTGACTGAGAGTAAATCATCATTTCAGACAACCAATAGGCACATATGGGTCATTCTCATCCATCCAATGGGGTAGCTACACGTCGACATTCTAGAGTATTCCCCCAGCAGTGATTGGGTGGAATGTCTGCGGTTCTTTCTAGGTTTCTTAAGGCTTCATAGAGTCTACCGACGAGCCGTCCTTACACATAGGCTTATCAGGTGAATAAATTTGAGATGGATTAATTAAACTCCTAGTCAATGGACTATAACTCATGATGGTTGCAAAATATTAGTAATTTACTGTAGTTGAGACTGTGGACTACGAAACATCAGCCTAGTAATTTACTTATATTTAATCTGCTGTAACAACTAGAAATCTTGATAATATGATAAGCGTATATTTTAAATGAGTTCTCAGCTAAAATGAAACATATAATCAATGTTGCACAGTTTTCAATCATCAAACTAACAGAGATGTCAGTTTGTGATGAAAATTACTTGAGGTGATTGAGACATGTATTACGTGTGTTTATCTAACTATTGCTAATATCGATGACTATTATTCAAGTCACTGAATGTTATTCAAAGTCATTTTAATAACTGCAAACTACTTAGTCCGAGTCGGTGCAATAATCTTGACTAATGAATGGTTGAAAATGCTAAAGTACCAGCTGAGAAGAAGTTTTAGTGATGGAGATAAATTCATTCTCTATTTCATGTAATTGGTTCCTTTCACAAATGTAAACAAAGTAAGAATGACAATATTTGCTTGATCTCCAAATGCTGATTTAATATGGCAAATTAAATAAATGCACATTTGTGATAGGTGCTATATTTTCTCGACTGACAGACTGATTAATGAAAATTATTAACAAATTGTAGAAAATATCTATTTGGTTGAGATCATGAGTGAACCAATGTTAGATCGTCATTGAAAACCTGGAAGCACTAGGCGGCTGTTTCGTCCTAATATGAGACTACTCAGCAAGGTGCATCCACGAATTATAAAATTTCTTGTGTCAACAATATTGAAAGATTATTCCAATTATAAATAAATACACCAATAGATACATAGTTTAATAAATCATCTAACTTACAGAACGCATATTTGAAGTGACATTAGCTTGTAAACCTTCTTGTAACATAGTTTTCGCTACTTCAAAAGACGGTGCAGCAACAAATACAACACAAGGATTAAACTCTGGTTGATGTAACAAATGTAGTGACTGACAGTTTATAATTTAAAAAGAGAAAAACGAAATGTTCATAAAATTAATTGGGATTATTTGCAAAATGTTAATATATAACTCATTTTAATAAGTATACATTTATCAAATTAACTGAACCAAAATGGATAGAGAGACTTTTATTCTTATAATAGGTGATTAAAAATTGATTATTTTAATCAATCAATAATCATCCCCCAAAATAGTATAACAGTTAAAAAGAGTAAATAATATAAATACACATTATCAGTATAGGGTTGTGGAGATTGTTGAGTATTAATTGAGATCATGAACCGATCAATGTTAGATCGCTATTAAAAACCTGGATTGGCTGAGCTTAGACATTAGCGACGCCCCCAAATGCCCTGGTACGGCTGAGAGTGGAGAGAGTCCGCTCTCCCTCACGAAATGCTCTCATATGGCCACGCGAATATATAGCCTCTGCCACGGAAGTCCTACTCACTGCCTTCTCGTGGAGGGGGTGTTGTTCACAAAAGTGAGAGGACTAAAAGCGAATGTCCGGCGCTTTAACCGAGTTGGTGGATGTGGAGGATCCACCTAGGGGAGTTGGAAAGCCCTCATTCCAAACCAATGGTGCACATGGGCTTCAGGATCCGGAAGGAACGAATGGCGTATGAACCATCTGTTGGTCACCGGCTACCATGGGACTGCATCTCCTTACGATGCTCCACTGCCTTGTGGACTAGACCTTCAGGTCAAAGGCTCCGGGTGTGGCTCCCTAAGAAAACCACCTGCTTCAGATCGGGCACCCGGCCAGTATCACAGCCCTCACACAAATCAAATGAGATTTGTGAGGCGCATATTTATCTGGTGCTTCCTTGTACCAATATTTATGTGTTTAAATAAATAAATAAATACATTAGCGTCGTTGGAAATCGGCTTAGTAGTCTAAAGGTTAAGCGACAGGTCAATCAGGTCTACTATAATGCATGTGTCATGTAACTCAGTTATATACTGTTCATGTTAGATATTATTCAAATTAGTTAGGCTTGTCAGGGACGGTATTAGTTTAAAGTAACATCATGTAGGTGGCTTTACTTAGTGAATTCAGCAATAAGAATGGCTAAACATTTAGATTCCCTATAATTTCACTTTTGGGATAAGATACACTTATAGGTGTAAGAACATTTAATTATTATTATTATTATCATTATTAGCTTTATTCAATATTATACTTTTAGTACAATACAGAATTCTCAGCACAAAGTACTTCAACAAGTTTCCGTTTCTTACTTCTTCGTCCTTCCTGACGATAAATATTGAGTGATCGCCAGTTAGAAGTTAGCAGCCCAGTCAATCGACATCTGGGTAATGTACATTCTTCTAGCTGCATATTGCCAGCAACCACGATATCTCTGATTAGACCTTCTGTAACCTTTACAGCGAAAGGTCTTACACTTTTCAGAAACGCACCTGAATAGGTTGTGTGATTATTAAGCATAATGGTGTATTAAAACAAACGAAATTAGATAACTTGTTGAAATATCTAGAAGATAGGAACAGGTAGCCCAGATGCTTAAACAGGCTGCATTTTCAGAGGAGTAGTATGCATCAATGAATCGAACAAAGGATGGGAGTGATTTTATTTCACTGACAAATTGTGGTAAATTATTCCAGACCCTGGAATAGTAATCCTGTAGTTAAAATCGTGTAATAATTTTAGTGAAAGAAATGCTGAAAACCAAGAAACAGTAGATAGTTATTTCATTCCGGCACTAAACTCCATAGGAGTATGTACTGGCGACCTGTGTTGTAATATGAACTATAGAATTCGAAAATCTTTACAATTCCTCTCATACTGATAAAATCTAAGCTAGCAGGTTGTGGGTTCAAACCCAGCTATGCCTACCTCAATTTGATCAACCTAGGCGAAAAAGTATCACTAGCTCTCATGCAAACATTGTGACTCAAAACCGAGTACATAAATATTACAAATGGTGAATGAATTACGTTCAAGCAATAGTATAGTGCAGTCGAATTAAATCAATAAAAGATTGACAGAAGTAGTGAATACTAATTGCTATAACGCAAGTGATTATAATTTTATTTTGTAAGGCTATCGTCGTTGATATACACTGATTCCAAACTGATTGAAAAAAAACTAAACAACCATATTAAAAGTGAAGCGGCTATCTATCAGTGGTATCGGATGATAGTTACACAGTCCCGTGAAAGGACTAAAGTTAGAAATGTAAATTACTGTATGCCAGCTTAGTGGTCTGAAGGTTAAGTGTGCGCGTTGAGAGAACTTGGTAGGTCCTTCCTCCTCGTAGAATGAACATGTATTGCTGAGAAGTCCTGTATTAAAACAAGACAGTTGTTCAGTAGATCACCATTTTGAATGGGTTGTTTAGCTACAAGCAATCTGCGATGTAACGCTACAAAACTCAACAATCTTTATAAATTATTTATGTTCATAAATGATGAATTGGCCAACGATTAAAGATTAATCAACTCTTCCTGAATAACTATGCATCATCTGACGATCGATCATATATAACCACCACCACTATCTATAAGAAAATTTTGATATAGTCAAATGAAAATTTCTACTAGAAGATAAAACATAAATAAATATACATAGACTTACTTGGGGCTGACAATCTAATACAGCAGTTCGTCCATTAGCTATAATTTTACGTAATTCAGAAAAACGAATTCCATAGTAATGACCATTAACTTTACCCCATTCAACATAGGCACCAGATTTCACGTCAGACTCCATTTGATCTTTAGATAAAACTTTAAATAAATTAGTCGGTAATGTTGAGTCTGTAGTATCTACATAGACAAATGAATGAAAAACCACACAAAAACAATTAGTAATTATGACGAAGAATAACTTTCGTTGAACTATTTATCTATAAGGCAAACTTAAAGGTGGTTCATTACTAAGTGTAAATTAATGGTATACTTATCCAGTAGTCTTTACTAGTGATCATATTGTATACATCACTAATTTAAGCGATTTGAAATCACATGCACAATACAATGGTGTTAGATTACTGGGTGCAGTTGGCAGAAACATGTGGAATGTCTTCGACTATGAGATTGGATTTGAACTTCATGTGTAGTATTGATGAGGGAAAATTTCCATAAAACATAGTTTCAGGATTTTCTGTTGATTCAGAGATTGTTTGCATAGATTAGCGAATAACATTACAGGATTCGCGTATTTTGAACTAGTGTCTCAATCCAATCATCGTTTCGTAACAGACATCATGGGTAATTTACTGTGTCAATCTTCAGAGACACATGATGTCTATATTAAATGGCTGAGATGAATTACACAGGACACATAATTTCTCTAAGCCACATGACGGAGTTGAAGTAGAAATAGTTTATTATTGTGAGCAAGTGTGTTGTTCATCCACCCACGTATGCAAGGATGCTTACATGTTTCATATAAAAGAACAAAATCTGACTGAAAAAATTCTATAATCGAAGTTGAGTGGGTAAATGGAATTTATTACTATATATAGATAAGGTGCGCGTGTGTATGTATTATTATTGTATATATATATACCTGTCATAGGATATGCAAATCGTTTCGGTTCATATTTTGCAAGAAGTACTTTTAAATTCCGTCGACCAACACCATTTGGCCCAATAAGCAAAAGACAAGGCACTTTAGACTGTGGCCATGGTACAACTTCTTCATAACTCCAGATATCTGATCGTAAACGTAAACCTTTATGTAGTATATAATTAAAAATACAAAGAAAATGATAATAAGTAAATTAGAAATTTACTTGTCATTTTGACTTCTTTAATTTGGTCTTTACTGAGTATAGTCATGAGCGTCTAGTTCTAGCACTGTACTATGTATGGTATTGCTACAACTTTTGATTTGATTACCCAACAGTTTCCTATAAACAAACTCATGCGTTATGGGAACAAAGATCTTTCTCTAGTCATAAATACCAAATAGTTAGAATCGATTCCTCTCAATTGAACATTCTTCCAGTCACAAGTACAGTAATACAGATCAGTGAGTGTTTAAGATACTTTGCCTTCATAGTATATATAAATGATACATAAATTCGCTTCAGAAGATTTTCTGTATGCTGATAATTTTGTAGTGTATTTACGTCCTTTTCATAAGCTTACTTGATCATATCAATAAATTGGTATGCATTGTGTATTCATTTATTTAGTGAATATTTATAGATGGGTTCATTTAGAAAGATTACATTTTTGAGATGAACCAGTGATGAATACATACTAACGAGCATTACATAATAATAATTTGAAAGAATCACTGCTAGAGACCGAACGAGTCACAAACGATGGTTTGTGTTCAACTTTGGAATTTAACTAGTATATTTAATGGACTTTCATGTTTCAAGCAGGATAACATCCTGCTAGCCTGTTATACATTTATTTCATGAAATAACCAGTTTTAGTTAATAAATCAGCCTAGGAAAAACCTCGTGACTTATATATGCTTCATAATATCATACATACAATAACTTTTATGTAAAATGCTACTTATTTAAAGGGGAAAACAGTAGTTTCTTTCTCTGCCCTACCCTTGAGTTAGGAGTTCAGTATACCACGAAACGCCCTGGTACGGCCGAAAGTGGTGAGAGTCAGCTCTTCCTATCCAAATGCTCTCACATGACCGCGTGCATACAACCACTGCGACGGAAGTCCTACTCATTACCTTCTCGTGGCGGGAGTGTCGTTTACGAAAGTGAGAGGACGAAAAGCGAATGTCCGACGCTTTAAACGGGTTGATGGACACGGAAAGTTCACCTAGGGGAGTTGAGAAACCCTGATTCCAAACCAATAGTGTACATGGACTCGTGTCCTGAGGGAACAGATGGCGTATGAATCAATCGTTGGTTACCTGCTACCATGGAACTGCATCTCCTCACGATGCTCCACTGCCTTGTGGATCAGATCTTTAGATCGAAGGCTCCGGGTGTAGCCTTTTGAGAAACCCACGTGCTTCACTTTGGGCAGCTGGGCAGTATCACAGCCCTTGCAAAAATCGAATGATTTATGTGGTGCGTATCTGTTTGGTGCCTCCTTGTACCAATGTTTATGTGTTTGAATAAATAAAAAAAGAAAGAAGTCAGTAACTAGTCTTAAGTATATTATATTTCAAGTAGACGTTCATTCGTGTTCACTTACCTATACGTAGGTACGTGAGTGAACATAAAAAGATAACTTGCCTGATGCGTCAGCAGCTCTGAAAAACGTTTTGACTTTTTTCCACGGTTTACGACTAGTATTTGCTAAAAACGTTTTTGAAAAACAAAAAATACTGTAAGGGAATGTTAAAAAAAAATTCAACTCAACTCAATTAACCACTCACATATCAATATGTCTTGGGACTAAGAACCATACTATTTAGATCCGAAGACTGAGATAATGCTAACCGTAGTGGAACGAAGCAAAGTTCGAATCTGTGATCTAGTATTTGAAAGTTAAATGCTCCAATCATGAAGTCGCCGCGCTCCATGACAAAGTAAATTTAATAACATGAATAGACTAAATAATAAAGATAATGATCATTAAAAAGACCTTCAAGGTTGTCATCATAGCATAATTTCACCACTCATTCTTAATACTATTATCATTAAAATATTTTATTACATCCCCTCAGTCAATCAAGACGGGATACATAAGTGGGTATCTAAATATATATATTCGAAGTTTTCATTACAAGAAACATGACTGAAATTACTGACATACCCTGAAGCTTTTCTTGATTGAAGGCTTGACGACGTTCTTCCAGTGTTTGTGAAGGTATTAAACGAGCTTTTGAGTTGGGCTCTTTCAATGAACGTACCTTTGTAAAAAAAATAAACCATTAGACAACGCATCAAACTTTATATCCCGAATACATATCACAGTTCGACTAGTACTTTTATTCTCATTAACACAAACAAGCTAGGGTATAGAATTGTATGAAATTATTGGCAATTATTCTGAATGGTGTTAGAAAGTGTAAACGTTTTCTCGAATAGGTGGTTATTGGTTATTGAAGTAATCTGCACAAGATGTAAATATTGCAACAAAGATTGATAGAAGTTCAGGACCAAATATTGACAATAAGATAGCCCAAACGCATACTAACGATGAAATTCAGTAGGATTGGTCTATATTTAGATGGAAAGTTAATCTGTTTATAGATGGTTCAAACTGCTTGTTAATACAATCAAACCATATGTTGTCATGTGTTGTTAAGTAAAGGAATGATTACAATCAATCAAAGTTAATTGATATCCAATTTATTAAACATAAAACCAACAAACGTTCAACAGTATCAACCGTGACAAATAGAGTTATAGTGAAGTTTCTAGGATTTTTATATCATCGTTTATCGAAATTCAATAAAGGTAAAAGACATAAGAATTTTTTCATCAAAAGTATGTATATTATCATTAATTTTCAGTTCATTTACTTATCATGGACACCGATAGTCGATCACAGTTTACAAGGATAAATACTATCTTCATAGGTACATTACTTTTGTTGATATTATTAAACTCGATTTTAAAACATTTTGTTTTCTTCACTTTATTCATATAACTGAGCCAATCAGTAAGCGGACACTTACCTTCAAGGTTGGGAAAGGTTATGACTAAAACAATACACAGCTTCATTCTATCAGATGTGGTCGATAAGGGTCATGTATTAGATAAGAACAAATCACTTAGAATAATCTATCGTATACCTAACACCTTTCCTTATATGTTTCTATCTTATCTCTCACATGTAGCAGAAGCTATAGGGATTCAAGCTAACAATCAAAGTCTTTGTATTCATCAGAAATTTGTAATATTTTTATCTTTTGCAAACGATTTTGTTGTTATCACTGACCCATAAACTGCCCTGACTAATTTAATAACATTACGTACAAAAATATTATTGTGCATCAAAGTAAAGCCTAACGACGATCCAATTGAAAACAATATTTGTTTGTTTATATTGTTTTGTTCTAATTATTAATATGGCCTATCAATTTTGTAATTTATGAGTTAAGACCCACCTTCCCTATGTCCTAAAAACACATACACATGCAAAACTCGAATCCTAACAAACTATAACGACGATATTTACATGGATTTCTTTTGATAACTAGTATTGTGACCATTATCATATCATACAACCAGATCCCTTGATAAATTTGAACAACGAGGTTTGCAGAATAAAATGAATCCATCTTCCTGTCTCACAGTTTCTCATCAGCTGAATACAGTCTGGAACTACGATTAATAGTTTGGCTATCGACGAATGTTTGACATACTTTAGTTTGTGAAGTTTAGATAAATGTTCGAAACGTAACCAAAATCATAATAATCATAAGAATAGGGATACAATGTGTAGGAATAAACATGGTTAAGAATATATTTGTAAAATGTCAGCGAATGAATTTGAAGTAAATCCAACGTTTCGCCTGGCAATCTGGTCCAAGCTTTTCCAAGGAAATATAATCTGTTTCCTTCAAATTCATTCGCTGAGATTTTACAAATATAGTCTTCCTATTTAATGTCTTACATCAACTCGGCGCCCCAAATACTGTGAAACTATTCGCTCTTGATTAGACGAAAGTTCTTATATAGTTAAGATCGATGTGTACTTAGATGTTAGAAAGTGGTAATTCAGAAGTTATGTAAAGATAATGAAATTAATAAATGATCAGGTAATCGCTTAACATGATAAAATAAACAGATATATGAACATCAATAAGATAATTAGACATTAATACCGTTGGATGCCGGCCAGCTCAATGGTTTAGAGGTTAAGCGAAGGTCCTGGGTTCGGGACTTCGGATGCGTACTACTGAGGACAAAACGGCAGTCCAGTGCTTCTAGGTTTTCAACAGTATTTTAACATTAATCGATTCGTGATCTCAATCAAAAACCTAACAATCTCCACAACCCATACTGACTTTTTCTTTTTAACAAAAATTTTTTACCACCATACATACTATTGCTATTTATACATAGTTTGCGCGCATCATTCCAAAAAGCTGATGACTAATCACTATATTTCAAGTAGCGCATCACACACAATCCGCTTAATACTCCTGTTTCATATTTATGATACATTTGAAAATATATATTGCCATGTTGTTGTGTGTGTGTGCGGCACGCTACTTGAAACATACTGATTAGTCATCAGCTTTTTGAATGATACGCGCAAACTATGTATGTATGCATTTATGTAAGCGAGAATATTTCAAAAAGAAACCCAGCAACTCATCATCGAATCATGTGACTACAATACGATAATCAGCTAATTAAATTGACGATTTCATAATAGATTTTAATAGCAAAAGGAAACATATGATTATGGCAATAATCATAGCAACAATATAAGATTTAATTTATATAAATGTCAAACCATGGTTCAATGTCACAAACACCTGTGAATAATGAATAATCTATGGTGTGTATATGCATAACACTTTGAAAAGAGAGAGAGAGGTGGAGGGAAATGAGTGACAAGGTTTCTAAACACATGAGAATAACGTGAATGGAAGTTCTGTTTCTGATATGAGCCTATATTTGATTATTCACTGTTGTTGTTATTGTTGTTCAATCGGTAAAATGTGTATGTGTTGTTCATAATAATCAATGTGCACACATCGTTCATTATAAATAGATTCATTAAGACCGAATTCGAGAATTATGAAACTAAAGTTGATTGTTTATATTTTGTTAAAACAAAAAAAATTGTCTCAAAATAAGGACGTTTATTGGACAATTTACAACAACTATTATAGTAAGGACAATAATTTATGGACAACCATTGAGCAACACTAAAATGACCTAGGAATGTTCACCTACTTACCAAAGTTAAATGAGGATTATATACTAGTGTGAGGAATAAGAATTTACAATTGAATGTTATGAATTAGATTTATTGTTTTCATCATGAATTGACATCAGCTATAATGCCAAAATGGTATTCAGCCAAATGAGTGAATGAATTTCGCGCCAAAATTCATGACCTGATATCTTAAATCCGATTGGTTCGTCTATAAATGATAGTCTAGCCACTTATTTATCAGTGTAGGGTTGTGAAGACTGTTGAGTTTTGATTGAGATCATGAATGGATCAGTGTTAGATCACCATTAAAAACCTGGAAGCACTGGATAGCAATGTAGCAACTGTTTGATTTTCCAAATAATTATTTCGATTTATATAATCCTTTTTATTTCAATTACTCAGTATTATTTCGTCATTAATGTATCATATATTTTCTACGTAAAGTAACTACTCAATGAGTATTATTTCATTGTTGCAAATCATACTTATTTGTTCCTTTTTTGACCAAATGTCGAAATATCTATGTTCACGATATTGAAAAACTTTTGTGATAAAAAATTACTGTACTGCTTTCTTGAGGTTTATGTGTACTCCCCGACTCGAATCTCTTTCATGTAAAGTCAAGGTTAATCCAAAACTTGACTTGACGACTTAGTGTTTTCCCGTCACCGGATGGGACAATGAAAGCTTTGTGATGATTAAAACATTCCTTTAAGAGAATGCAACAAGTTGAAAATCTTATTATTGTGGACCACACATTTCTCCCTTCTCCATTAAATGTATATTATATTAAATTATGTGAGCTTGTGACGATAGCAACAAATTATATTACGTACTATATTCGGATTTATGAGTAACTGTAACAATGCTTTCAGATATATGTGAATTGCACATACGTAATTTTAAATTATACTCCGCCTAGAACACTTCTAGGGTTACTACCGATCCCAAGCTCGAATAAAAGAGGTGATTAGGGTTAGAAACCCCATTTCATAAACGACCTTGCTAAAAAACGCTAACCGGAAAAATCACCATCATGATCGGCGGCCTATGCTCCACGTGGGGTAATAGACATAAGTAAGTAATTATTAAGTTTCCGAATGTCATGTCCAGAAAAAGAACAACTAGTACTAACATTAATAACACTTTACATAGTTATTAGTCATCCGATTTTCAACTATTTTGATACATAACCTGCAAATGGTACAGATCAACTATATTCTATATTTATATCGTTTTGAGATTTTCGCCGTTAGCTATCTCTCCCCACTGCTCCTCACAATCGAAAATATCGATTTATTCAGAGGTAAATCGAAAATGACAAATGTTAAAATTCAATGTAAGCATACTATATAAGTGACGTCATCAGAATCAAAGAACCATGAAATTTAGAGGCTGAATGAAATATGTCAATTTAAGCTCCATGATCCCAAACTAATTAACCGTACGTTAGGTAGTTGGAGGTAATCAGCAAGAAACCTTGTATGACTTAGTTTCTTTTCTAGTTGGTACTCATCAGTAAAGTGTATCTTCGATTTTTAAGTAGCCGATACACTCTGTTGAATTCGCACCCGCGTCACCAAGCTTCAGAGTTACCGTACTCTGAATCTACTAATGAGCTATTCGGGATGTTACTGACTTCCTCTATAGGACTGATATATTTATAATTGATTAGTAACTGAGTGGTTTCAAAAGTCATATTTGTCGAGTCCTTGATGTTGACCGAATCCTAGGAATCAAGTTGATTTGTAGTGACATGAACACATATTACAAGTTTTTTCCATGCACGTAGAATAATAGACACAATGTAACTTGACCGATAGAATTCGACTAAATCATCTGTAACACTTACATAGTATACTTATGAGTAGGCAAGCTTACTTTTAGAAACAATCTTATTAATACTATCGCCATAAAACCGCATTACTAAAGTGACATTTTATAGTAGTTTGTTCTCAAACGATCAATTAATTAAAATATCTAGAGAATTGCCGAGATATTTGTGAAATGAAGCGATTACATAATGTATAAATTATCGATCATATGAATAGTGTGACGACATAAAGTCAAATAGGTATTAATAGTTTTGCCAAAGAAAAATCTATTCTTCAAAATAATATAATAACACTTCCAAAAACAAAAACAAAAAATAATAACAAGAGGATATAACACTGGTGATTAGGGATTAGTTTTGAGATGAAGAAATTGTAACTCATACAATTCAGTATGAGGATTTGTGGAGATTGTCGTGATTTTAATAGTTGAATTCATGAGTCAATCTAAGCTAGACTATCATTGAGAACCTGTGAGCACTGGACGGGCGTTTCGTCCTAAGATGAGATTCCTTAGTAGTTCGTATCCACGATCCCGAACACCGTACTTGAACCTTAGATCGATTAATGAATTTAATTAGTACAATCTCCACCAATCAACCAGACTCATAGGTCATAAACATTTGAATTTTCAACATTGAGTTGAAGGTACAAACACTGTTTCAACGGTTTCTGTTTGATCAGCGCAGTAGTATTCGTAATCCTAACATATAAACAGTAAGGATCGAATTTTAGTACAAAAACGTCTTCGTTATTAAATTAGGTTAGCATTTGCCATGAGGTTTAAAGCGTCTCCAAGTACGATTCGATATAAAGTTTTGCATACACCCCGAAAAGAAATCCAGTTCTGTCTTTTTTTAATCAATAACTCTTAAGTTGATTTCATTTCACATTATAAAACTAACTTCAATATATTAACGTTAGGTTGTTGCACGTGTTTAGCAAGACTAGCAGGGTTCCCGATGGTTGATACTAGTCACACAATAGCCTACCTGCAATTCGGAAAGAACTCATGTTCCCTGAACGATTCATATCCACTTTGCCAAGCTTCAGAGTAACTCCGCCTGTAGCTCTCCTAGAGTTACTGCCTGTTCAAAGCTCATACAAAGAAGGAGGGTTGAGCATGGGGTTAGCTAGTCAGCTACAGGGTGCAACCAGGCACACATATGCATCGACCCAAGTTGCCATACCTCGTTAGCACAACAAAATGAACACCAAATTCATAGTAGTTAATTTAGTGGTGGTAAGAAAGATTGCATATAAGGACATACCACAGGAAGGAAGACAGATATGAAGCAATTTTAATCTCAAGGTTTAGGGGGGAGATAAAGTGTGTATACACCTGCGCCATTGTGATCGATTTTGAGCCATATCACCTAAAGTCTCCAACCATTGGTTACGATAGTCAAACGGACCCCAAACAGGTAGTCTGCATCTACCAACATGGCTCAGACTAGAAGTTAGTGACATCAAGCACTGATGGCACTTTTCTGTTTGACTGCCCCTAACTCTCTTCCAACCACCGCCAATACTAGTCAGCATAGCGCGTCGTGGTAATCGGTCGAAAAAGCTGCAAGAGAAAGGAATATGAAACAACTATATAATACGACGAAGAAACTAGCAGGGGGATATAGCAAACAGGAGAGATCAGTCGAGGACAAAGAAGGAAAAGACAATCACGGAGATTCAAGAACAGAGGAAAAGATGAGTAGAATACTTCAAGGAACTGCCGAATAGACCACCTCCATTGAATCCACCGGATATCGAAGCAACACATACAAACCGTCCTATCGATGTTACTCCACTAACTATTGGAGAAATCAAGATGGCCATCAGACAAATCAAGAATGGGGAAGTAGCAGGACCTGACAATATACCAGCTGAAGCACTGAGATCACACGTGAAAGTAAATGCAAACATTCTTCACCTTCTGTCCAAGATTTGGCAGGAAGAATAAGTGCCGATGGACTGGAAAGAAGGATACATCATCAAGATACCAAAGAAATGAGATCTGAGCAAGTGTGTCAGTACGCGGAAAAGTTTTCAACAGAGAGTTGCTGAACCGGATGAAAGACGCAGTAGCCACCCGACTTCGAGATCAACAGGCTGGTTTTCGAAAGATTGGTTGTGCAGACCGAATTGCGACACTACAGATCATTATGAAACAATCAGTTGAGTGGAACTCGTCACTATACATCAACTTTATTGACCATAAGAAAACATTTAATAGTGTGGATAGGAGAACACTAAGGAAACGTCTTCGACACTATCGTGTACCTGAGAAAATCATCAACATCACACGGAATTCTTACGGTGGGCTACAGTGCAGATTCGTGCATGGAGGACAGCTGACAGGCACATTCCCAATGAGGATCGGTATCATCATCAAAAAAGTACAGGTGTTTATAAACAATTGTCTACAAGATACTCAGTGTCCATTGGTCGGACACCGTCAGCAATAACTTACTGTGGAAGAGGGCGAACCACCTTTCAGATGAAGAGGAAATTAGGGAAAGACAATGGAAGTGGAAAGGATATGCATTAAGGAAACCATCAAACTACATCACGAGGCAAGCCCTAACTTGGAATCCGGAAGGGAAGTGGAAAAGTGGAAGGTCAAAGAACACACTATGTCGGGTGATAGAAGCAGATATGAAAAGGATGAATAACAACTGGAAAGGATTGTCCAAGACAGAGTTAGATGGAGAGTGCTGGTGGGTGCCTTATGCTACTTCACGAGGGGTAACAAGTGTAAGTAAATATACAAGCGAGTGCTAATTGACATGAAATACAGAACTACGTTTTCCTGTTGACTAACATCAACCACAAAATATTAACATAGTGTGAAAAAGACACCATTTTTCACCTATAAACATACCTGCCACCAATTAGGATCCTGATCATTTACTAGCTCCAAAACATCTCCAGATTTAAAGGACAGGCCAACATCACCAGTGGGTAGAAGACTGTCTTTTGTCGCATCATAGTCGAATAAGCATCGAACATAACGCTAAATTGAAGAAACAGATAAATAGACCCGAGGAGAGAAATAAATTAAAGCAATCATTACAGTAAGAAAGGTGGATCTTCATTTTCACTTCTGATTCAAACATGATAATGAAGTGATGAATAAGTGGAGATTAGAACAAACTTTTACAAGGAGAACTTGAGGCAGGAGCACATAATATCATCGTTTGAGGGATTCGACAAAGTAAAGACAAATTATGCGAAATTACGATATATTTGTACAAACATGAGATCAAATAAATTTAAACAATTTACAGAGATTTTCATTTCCATTTAGGAATATTATTCTTCATTTTTTTTAGTGATAAAAAGCTGATTAACAATATGACTGAAATTTTTAGTCTACTAACTACTCCGGGAATAACTGATACCATGATAAAATAGATAATAAATACTGCAATTAATAAGTCTCTTTTGGCATATTTGGATGATGATGATGATGAAGATGAAAGGAATTTCACAATATTTGCATTTAATCATTATTTTTTTATTATTAAAGTTAGATGGTAGCAAGCAGTGAAATCCAGGACAGGGAATTCGTTCTATTAGGAATTCATCAGCTGCAGGTATCTGCAGGTCATTTTTGATGTTCACACTTGAACGCAATACCTTTGGCTTGAAAACAAATTAACTGAATGAGCCAATAAGCTTTGTAAATAATATGTTGGCGATTAAATAGAAAGGTACTGGGTTCAGTTTTCAGTGTAAACATTACCACTGAGATGCAGGTACATCCAGAAAGGATATAACGAACGTCATAATTTCCGCTGTCTAGTCAATAATTTAATAAAAAAGTCTTACCACTATGTAGTCGGGATACTTTTACAAAATAGTTTCTAAATGTAAGAAAGGACTAAGATACTACTATATTAAGAAGCTCAGGGAATTATATTGCACAAAATTGACAGAATCCATTCATAGATCACAAAGATTTTCATTTTATCACAATACGATTCAAAATTGATTATTTGTAGCTCAGGTGGATGATTTTGATGAAGTTTTGTTCTCTGGTACCGTCTACTTGAATAATAACACATGTTACTTTGAATATAAGCTATACTAAAGTGCAACTTACCAGAGTCATAAGTGGCATAGTGTCAAATGTATTATTGGATAGGTGGAGGATATTTATCCAGTTTATACAATCTCTTAAAGTCGTTTTTAGCAATTTGAAAGCACAATTAGGAGACGGAATTGATGAATCACGGGTTATGAAACATGTGTCTAGACGGCTTCAGAACCAATTAGTGCCAAATCCTCTCACAAATGTCGGAATTAGAAAACCACTTTCATCAATAGCGAAATATATAATAGAAACAGGGTACTAAATTTACATCAATACAGCTTTTAAAACGTTGTCGAAGACGAATACTCAGGTTTATAGAGGGGACTGACTATTTGCGAATTCAAACCCCCTTTATGTGTCCAGAAAGAATTTATCGTAACCTTGAGTTTTCCTTGGTAATCTTTAAGCCATTTTATGGTCTACAGCAGTGTGATAATTTCCTACTTTTTTCCAATAACATATTATTTTTACTAAATTGGCCTTAATTAATTTTCATAAAAAATGGCTTGACATGTAAACGTGTGACCATATTGTTCAAAATGAATGGAGCAATTACATTTTTGAGACCAACTCTATCTTCTCACTGGTATACCAAGTTCACTGAAATGTAGTGCTGTCAACGCATCGGTCATCAGCCTAACAGATTGTTCCGTTAAAATTGATTCAGATTCAGAATACTCAACTGCTAAGGCTTAATTAAAAAGTGATTATTAAATATGTCCAGCTCTTTCTCTCTCTCTCTCTCTCTTGTGAGATGCACAAGTTCAAAAAAGAAATAACAATTTCGATAAAGTGCCTCGATGATAAATAAATAACGGAGAAACATCATGTAAAAATCTATAAGTTCACTACTTAATTCTGTTTTTCCTTCTATGCTAATTATGTAATTAGAAAAGTGATTTACAATGCAAATGAATAAAAAAGACGTAGAAATTAATGTATCTTAATTTAGTGGGATATAAGGGTTAATATATAATACCAAGATGTAATATGCAGTTCTAAAATTGAATTGTTTGAATAAACTGAAAATGAATGGACAAATTTCTGATTAAACTATGGTTTATGATCTAAGTTAGTATGTGTATGAAAGTTGACAACAGAAAAAAAGAGAACAAAACAATAGTGTTTTACATTTGTACACTATAGTGAAAGTGGATCATTGCAACGTCATTGAGTGTTGATGTAGATTTTGTTGGCCCCCAAATGCCCTGGTACGGCTGAGAGTGGGGAGAATTCGCTCTCTCTCTCTCTCTCTCTCTCGAAATGCTCTCACATGGGTAGGTGCATACAACCACTGCCACGGAAGTCCTACTTATTGCCTTCTCGTGGCATTACTGTTGTTTACAAAATTGAGAGGACGAAAAGCGAATGTCCGGCGCTTTAACCGGGTTGGTGGACAAGGCGAGTTCACCTAGGGGAGTTGGCAAACTTTGATTCTAAACCAATGGTGCACATGGGCTCCAGTATCCTGAGAGAACAAATGGCGTATGAATCAATCGTTGGTCACCGGCTACCATGGGACAACATCTCCTCACGATGCTCCACAGCCTTGTGGACTGAACCTTTAGGTCAAAGGCTCGGGGTGTGGCCCCCTAAGAAAACCACCTGCTTCAGATCGGGCACCCGGCCAGTATCACAGCCCTCACACAAATCAAATGAGATTTGTGAGGCGCATATTTATCTGGTGCTTCCTTGTACCAATATTTATGTGTTTAAATAATAAATAGTAATAATAATGTTGTGAGTACAAATAGACTAGACACTAATTGATACGACAAGTGAAGAACATGATGGTATCTCTTCATACTATAGTCACACGATATAAGTAATACATAGTGTAATGAACAGTCTAACACGGAAGGTAAGATCGCTGTGGATAAGATTACTGATTAATTCGGAAGGACAAATGGCAATTATCGACTCCGTTACGTAGTATTTCCTTACTAACTCCTATAAACATTCGAGTTCTTAATAAACCTAAGTAGGGGAACTTGTATAAAGATGTCAAACTTATAAGGGAAATAGAAAAATGAACCAATGATTTTTGGATATTGTCTACAAATCTGGGAAATTTTATGTGTTTCTATGATTTACGCAATTGAAACTCTGGTTGATGTAGCCTAGTATGAAGTACAAACTTTAAAAAAAACACGGATATAATATAAGATGAGCTATTTTAAGAGACTAGGAGGACTTTAATGTACAGTTTTTAAGTCTCCATAATAGTAGCCAGACAAGTCAGCTAGGAGAATTATAAGACATATTGGTGATAATATCATAGGAATTACTGAATCGTTCCGCAAATGGTTGGGATACATAAAACTAGTTAGTAATTTACATATTATTATTTTTAAATAAGATGTTTACAAACTACAAGGTTATGTACTCACTGTCGGCCAAAATGATTTTGTGAGTGCAATAGGTATTATAATCAAGCTACTAAAAACAAGGATCGTGGGAACGAGTTGGAAGTTGATTAGCTTAACACTAAACTCAAATGCACAGATTTCTCAAAACCAAAGCATCCCAACCTATACTTGGCTACCGAGCGGTATTATATTTAACAGTTAGTAGTGTAAACTATAAAATAAACCTCCAATAAAGATAAATATCATGTGGTCAATGGTAATTAATTTCAAAAGGTAGTTCTTAGAATTAAAGTGAAAGTTTGTGACTGGTGCAGTCCCATTATGTGAAATACCAGAAGTCAGTCAGTCAGTTACAACGTAGAACTTCGTACGTACGTATATCAGTTCGAGTTGCCATACCACATTAGCAGAGAGATGAAGTTGTCGATTCAAATCCCATAGTGGTAGAAGTAGTAAGAGTATAAGCAGTAATCGGAAAGATTAAGGTTTGAAGATGTTCTTGAAGGAGTATATTACAGTGAAATAAATTTGGAAAGAGAAAAAGATAAAGACATGAGGAATTCAGAAGATTAGAATTTGGTAGAACACAAAGAGCGTATGCACCTTCGCCATTGCATACGATTTTGAACCATGTCATTCAAGGTCTCTAACCATCGGTTGCTGTCATCTCGCAAATCCCAACCAGGTAGTCTACACCTACCAACACGGCCCAGTACACTTGTCAGCGACTTCATTGATTTATGCCATGTTTTAGTCTGGCCACCCCTAGCTTTCTTCCAACCTGCACCAGCACCATAAAGCACTGCACGTCGGGGCAGTCGGTGGTTAGGCATACGTAACACATGTCCCAGCCATCTCAACTGATGAAGTTTCACTACTTCATCAATCGATTTGCCATCCCTACCTAGTACCCGTTTCCTAAAAACTGCATTATTTACCCGGTGGTCCCAGGATATACGAGCAATGTTTCGAAGACACCTTTGATCGAATATTAGTAGCCTACGAATATCCTCTACTCTTATCGGCCATGTTTCACTTCCATAAAGTAGGACGGAACGGACTGCTGCACAGTAAACCCGTCCTTTGGTTGCTAGACGGATATCTCATCTACTCCATAAATGACGCAAGTTGGCGAAAGCTAGACGAGCCTTCTGTATCCGTGCTGAGATTTCGTCACATACCAGACCACAATGGCTGATGAGACTCCCAAGATAAGTGAAGCTGCCAACACGCTCAACTACTTCACTCCCTATCCTTAGTTCAGATGCCGATGCAACCCAATCCTGAAGTAACATTTTGCACTTCGAGGGAGAGAATCACATTCCGAACATACCTGTATTGTTACTTATAGTGGTCAGAAGACTCTGCATGTTGTCAGCGTCTTCACCGAATAAAACTATGTCGTCGGCGTATTCTAAGTCAACAAGTGAATCTCCCGGTAAAAGTTCAACTCCAGGAGATTGAGATGATGAAAGTGATATCTCTAAAAGCATGTCAACGACAAAGTTAAACAAGAATGGGGGGAGTGGACAACCCTGACAAACACCACTTGAGGTAACCAATTCTGATGACAGTTCGTGATAGGCTCTAACTCGACCAGTTGTGTTCGAGTAGAGAGCCTTTATGAGGTTAATGTACTTCTTTGGTACTCCTTTCACTGACAAACACTGCCATAGAACCTCACGATCAACGGAGTCAAATGCCGCCTTAAGGTCAATAATTACTAAGATTGTGGGACGTCTGAATGTGTGTCTATGTTCTAGGACCTGACGTAGAGTGAATATCTGGTCTATGAAACCACGTCCAGGTCGAAAACCAGCCTGGTTTTCTCTACTCTGCTCTTCACGAGCTTTGGTTAGGCGTCCAAGTATTATTGAAGCTAATATTTTAGACACTATATTAGTAAAACTGATCCCTCTGTGATTGTCACAGGAGGACTTTTGTCCTTTCTTATAGACTGGCACAATCAGTGATTGGGACCAGTCAGATGGAATTACGTCCAGTTCCCAGATTCTACCTAAGACCTCAGTCAATCTCGTTGCTAGTACTGGACCACCATCCTTAAAAATCTCAGGGGTAAACCTGTCAGGGCCTGCGGCTCTTCCTCACTTTAGATTTCCTTTAGCTTTTTCAACCTCGTAGAGAGTTGGAGGACTTACTTCAATTTGCCATTCAGGACGACTGGGGATCGTGGGTAACTGAAGTGTGGCTGAAGGCCAGTTGAACTGATCCCTAAAGTGTTCTGCCCATCGATCCAATCTTCTGGATTGAGAATGAATGATATGCCCATCTTTGTTTCGCTAATAGTTGGGTTCCTAATGCCGGTTTCTTTGATAAGTCTGAATGGCTGTCTGCTGTTACCTATTGCTGCTGCCTTTTCCATCTCTCTTGCTTTCGCTACCCACCACTGTTCACGATCATTGCGTAGGCTTCTTATTAGCCTTCGCTTAAGCTGACTCCGCTCTTCGTTATGTTCAGAGCCAGGAGGGATGAGTTTTCGAGCATCTATCAGTGTGGTAGATGCTGCCGAGATCCATTGTTTCTCCCTAACCTTATAGCTTACCTTACTAGCGGATATCACTGCTGTTTCCACAGCTTTACGGATGTCATTCCACGCTGCTTCGGGTTGGGAACAACTTACATGTCTGCCTAACTGTTTTACCAGTTGTTCCTGAAATACATTCTTAGCTTGCTTATCATTAAGTAGAACCCTTAGAGGCTTCCCTGCAGTGTCTTTCCTACGTCCAGTAAGACGCAGACAGATACGTGCTCGCACTAGAGCATGATCTGAGTCTAAACATGTGCTCCAAATTGAGCGACAGTCTTCTATCGAGCCCCTCCATCGATGGCTGATAGCGATGTGATCTAATTGGGTCCAACGTTGAGACGAATTCGGGGGTCGCCATGTCAAAAGATGTTTTTCCTTATGCTTAAAGTTAGTATTTGCAAGAAATAGGCGGTTATCTAAACACAGCTGCAACAGACGGTCGCCATTATCTGTCCTTTTAGCCACGACACCATAAGATCCACCCAGGTGTCTTTACCTTTCACTTAGTTTACCTACTTGAGTATTAAAGTCACCAGCCACTATTACTATATCAGAACGCCTAGCTTTTCGGAGAAGGTCAGAAAGTTTCCTGTAGAACTCATCTTTCATATCGTCTGAGCTGCAGTCAGTGGGAGAGTAGGCAGAGACGACGAAGAGGCAACGACGAGTTTCCCTATCTTTCCGAGTCCTTACTGATCCGTTTAGTCGGACAGCGCATAGACGACTGTCTACTGGGATCCAGTCTAAAAGAGCTAGTTTTGCCCTAGGACTTAATGCTATACCTACTCCAGTGAGGCCACGGGATGCAGTATCAGGGCTTCCAGATACACGGAGCGTGTATCGAGATGGTTCTTTATTTTGATTAGGTGAGGTCAAATGAATGACACTACTCGGATCTTGTATGCGCGTTTCGGAGACGCAGCACACATCGATGGTGTAAGATTCTAGAGTCCTAGATAAGGAAGTCTGTTGTCCTATTCGGCACAATGTTCGGACATTAAAAGTTCCTATATGTAGTTTAGAGCGTGGTTTCAGGAGACCAGGAATAACGTTCTGTGTACTCGAATCATTTTCCCTAGCGGTGCGAGGTGATAAAAGGACGTGGGAAGGGTTAGTAGTGGAGGTAAGAAAGTTATTAGGAGTAGGAAGGATTTGAAAGTGACCAACTTGGTATCGTGTGCTGTTACGGGTATGAGGGCTAATATCACTTCCCGGCTGCCCAGAAAATCGTCATCCAATCCGACTGAAAAATAATTTTTCAACATCACAAAATGTAAACCAGTAGATGCCAACTTAGTGGTCTGAAAATGAAATACGCCCATCTAAAGGACTGAAGGTACTGAATCACATCCCTGGCAAGATCGTGGATGAGTACTGTTGAGAAGTCCTATATTAAGACAAAAACGCTGTTGAACACTTGCTAGTTCTTAGTTGCTTTCTAACTAAGGTCACTTCATGACGACTATTTATGATCATTAAAATAAGATAATAAATTAAAAAAATGCGAGACAATTACAAATACATTATATATAAAAATAATTTAATTAGTAAAAGAAAGATCATAATACTTAAAAACCAATTCATGAATGACATACTTTAGTCTTTGAATTCGAATTGGAACATTGAATAGTAGAGCGTAGTATGCCTTCTTTAGGTGCTTGTACTAATAGTTTACAATCAATTAAACTAGATGTTTGTTGAATTTGAGAAAATACTTGTTCTAATGTATGAACGCGTAAACCATTAATTTCTAGGAGAATATCACCAGGGAATAAACAACCTGAAGAAAAATACACATCGATAGACACAGTAAAATGAAGACAAAAAGAGGAAAAATTTTGTGTGTCAATATGGGTAAATAGTAAGAAATATGCGAAGAAAGAAAAAGATCAATAAAATACTATGCAAAAAGCATGTTGTTAATTAAGTAATGTATCTAATAAGTACATGGACTCAAGTGATCATAAAAAATTATTTTACGTGATTGGAGGTGGTTAGGAAGTTTGCATGGGCCTACGTTTTGTGCTAGTTAGACGACGGTCAATAAAACGCACTTGAAGTGTTATCTCCTGTGAGATCAATTCGATCGATAAGATCCGGTGAACAATGAAGGATTAGACAATGTTGATATTAGCCATTACTCAGTGAGCCGGTTAATTTTTAATAGTGTCAACTGCATCTGGGTTATTCACTGGAAGAGTTCTTGACTATTCAGTTCGTTTAGCATAAAAAATGATCGCGTTATTCATAACAGTGGGTATAAAAGGTTTTAACGTCCGAAGAAAGTTCTGTCAGAATATGAGATGGGGTACTACACACAACTTACCTATTCAGTCATTCCAGAAGCAATTATCAGTAATACTATTTCGTCGAGAAAACATAGAAAGCAATAGATATGTGCATTGCTTGTAATTGTTGCATTAAATCAACACAACGAGACCAAAGTAACAAGGTGAATAGTAATACGACTGGAAGGACTATTAAGAATAAGAAGCAACATATTTCGAAGAGGAACAAAAAAAAATAACAATAAAAAATGAATACATCTGCACGACAGTGAGAGATTTTGATTTAAATCATCTACAATCTCACTCACACTGAAATTACGATTATTATATTGGATTGGTCATTCACAAAAAAATCAATCCAATAGTTAAGTACTATATGGACTAATTCCGGATAAATTGAACATTGGATAGGTCGTTGTAATATTACACTGAGCAGAAAAATCAAATTTACGGAGGTTTCATAATTCAGCGTAATCCACTTCTTCAGAGAATAAATAAAAATAAATATCTTGAGAATTGGTCTGCAATGTGTCATGAAACGTCACAAGGTCCTGGGTTCGAGTTCCGCGTGCGGAGTCGTGGGTGCGCACTGATGAGGAGTCCAACTCTACGGCGAAACGGCCGTTCAACGCTTCCACGTTTTTAATGTTGGTCTGATTTAAATCGACTCATAAACTCAACTATTAAAAATATATTATTTTTATTCACTTTTAGTTCTGTTGCAATCTAATCCCAAGGTAACCGATATTGCGCACCGACTAAGTCAGTCTTTGGACATGCGTTACACATGTTAGTTGATGAAAATTCATAGTATTAACAATAGGTTTTTATTTTTTACCTAGTGCCCTATATCTCAATCTCATCAAAATAATAAACAAACAAACTGGTTATGATAAACCACTCTCTCTTCACTTATTGAAGTGTTCATAAATTTCATACGTAAAATACTCAACATTCACTGGCCGGATACTATCAGCAACAGTGTTTTATGGGAGAGGATAAACCAGCTTCCAGCTGAACAGGAAATTAGGAAAAGACGATGGAAGTGGATGAGACATACATTAAGGAAATCACCGAACTGCATCACGAGGCAATCCCTAACTTGGAATGGTGAAGGGAAGCGGAAAACAGGAAGGCCAAAGAACACATTACGCCAGGAAATAGAAGCAGATATGAAAAGGATGAATGTTAACTGGAAAAAATTGCCCACGACAGAGTTGGATGGAGAATGCTGGTGGGCGGTTTATGCTCCTCCACAAGGGGTAACAGGCATAAGTAAGTAAATAAATTTTATACTGATGACATTCCTACCGGATGAAAATACACAATGAATAATACTTTAAAAATTATACACATAAATGATTTAGCTACAACCTATGAAACTAATTAACTGATATATTTTTAAACAAGAACATATTTGTGGTTCAAGATCCATGTGGAACTGAATTAGTGAACAAATAAATCTTGCTTTCGGTAACAATTAAAATAGAATTTTAAATATGAAGGAAAAAATCAACGTAAAAAGAGACATATGGAAACATCTTAAACTGTGAAGATCCAGAAAGAAAAAAAACACAATAGTATAGAACATGTTACGACCAGCCTGTATCCATGTAAAAATGAAAAAAAACACATCCAGATATTAGTGTAAATTATGTTTATTTATAGAAACAGAACAGAAAGACTAGACATGATTGACAACAATAATCTGCATAGTTTACATGCAGAATCAGTGGACTATATTGAATTATTTTATAAAAAGGAAAGTGAATTTGATATATGGTAGGAAAAATCCGCTAGACTTGAATCGATGTATTAGGTAACAATAGTGGAGAGAATATATGATACTTAGTCCAGATTGTCGTAACTGTGAAATCAAAATTCATGACTTCACATAGTCCTTAATTTTGCATAAGTGACTACGCTAGATGTTATTATCACGTTAAATAGCTTATATATGTGTGGACAAAGCTCGGAAGGTTAGGTTGATGGAAAATGTGCCAAAATACAAGCGCTATTAATAGATAACGATGATCCAGTAGTAGGAAACGATTGATTATCATTATAAGTTTGTCCTAATAATCTAGGTATTATTTTCGATTAAACCTCGACGATAGTTTATCTCTACAGTGATCGGTGCAGAGTAAAACAATTAATATGAAGCACATAGTAATAGAATGATAACAGTAAAATTGTCAGTATGGGGGTTGTTGATATCACGAGTCGATCTAAGTTAGAAAACTATTGACAACTTGAAAGCATTGGATAGCTTTTTTGTCCTACTCAGACGTTTTCAAAGGAGTAAATGGTCATGAATAAGCATGTAAGCAACCTGAATCCATCTCATCAGTCTAGAAGTCAAGCATCCGTGCATTAGATCAAAGGTCCTACTTTCGATCATCGGTGATAGGGTAATGGATGTACACCTGCTGAGGAGTTCTATACCAGGACGAGACAAATGTTCAGTGCTTCCAATTTTTCAGTGGTTGTTCAACATAAAATTGCCGACACAAACAAATTTTTATAAATACTCATAGAAATATACAGAATGGTAGCAAGGAAAAGACTATGATAATATATTTTCTAAACTATCTTTCTATAAATGGATGAATATGAAATAACATTGAAAGAATTTAGGAATATGAGAACTTAAAATGACCAACAAATACAGATTATGTCAAAACTCTTACAAGAAAACTTATTTACGTAATCTATAATTGCTTTGTCTGATAAGGATTATCGAATAATAATAATGGTTAATTCGTAAACGATAAATTTATTAATCAAATAAGAGGGTAACAATCAGTACGGTGTCACTTATTTAAACAAAAACGGAAAACCCGAAATAGATGACACACCACCTATTTACAAAGAACAAAAACAGTTTCTAACAGTTTCTAGTTTATTTGAAGCAGGAGAGATAAGTAGAGAGAATGGGCAATATCAACCATCGGAACGCCATGAGGCCGGATTTGAAAGAAGTAAATTGTTACTTTTAAGTCTCTAAACACATTTATCGATGATCCAAGTCGTGAAGATTATTTCCGTCATTGTGACATGACATTTATGTTTATCTTGGAAGTTTCTAGTTATAATTTTTTTTCATGAAGATATTTTGTTGAGCAAGTCCTCATTTGGAATCCTGAAGGGAATCGGAAAAGAGGAGGGCCAAAGAACATATGACGTCAGAAAATAGAAGATACGAAAAGGATTGCCCAGGACAAGGTTAAATGAAGAGTGGTGGTGGGTGGCCTATGCTCCTTCACGAGAGGTAACAGGTGTAAATAAGTAAGTAAACCGTAGTGCACTCGATTTTGAGAAATTAGTTTTCATTGTGTAAGAGCCAATGCTACTATTCAGCCGTTTAAATCGAAGTGAAGTTTCATTAGCAAAAGATCAAATCGTTTATCAACTAAGTAACTGCCAACAGTAGTACGGGATGGGTTGGTTATAATTAGAGTGTAATTAATTGAAGTAAGACGTAACACACAAAATCTGTTCAAACCTATACAATTATTAAGGTTTCTATTTTCTAATGTTTGGGAACAACAAAATGTTGTTCTAACTTTAATTAAGCCAAACTAATGTTTGGGTATTTCATAGAGAATTAGGTGGCATTCGTATCCATCAAATCTGGAATATGATTCAAAGTCAGGAATACAAATTTGTACCCGATGTAGTAAGTCAAAAAAAATTAAAAATAGTCTCCAACCAGATTCATTGATGGCGAACTGAAAGCAAAACGTTAAGTTGAAAGTATGAATTTTGAATTGAAAAAAGGATGACACACTAGGGATACCAATTTATAGATCTCTGAGAAAAACCTTTTATTTATTTGATATTCCAATTGTTTTCTCTATTAAGAATTTCATTCGGGTAATTTTCAAGGATGAAGTAAAGTTTTTGGAAACACTACAATCCATTTATAGGTATACTTACTTTCGTAAAATAGGTCATATTGGTTGTATAAACAAGTATAATTTATTTTATTTTATTTAAACACAAATATTGGTACAAAGGGTTATCAGATACATATGTGAAACACAAATCTCATTTGATTCGTGTGAGCGCTGCGATACTACCCGGGTGCCTAAACCGAAATAGGTGGTTTTCTTAGAAAACCACACCCCCAGCCTTTGACCTGAAGGTTTGATCCACAAGGCAGTGGAACATCGTGAGGAGATGCAGTCCCATGGTAACCGGTGACCAACGATTGATTCATACGCCAGTTCTACCCCCAGGATACTGGAGACCATGTGCACCATTGGTTTAGAATCAGGGTTTTCCAACTCCCCTAGGTGTAATCATTGTGTCAACCAAACCAGTTAAAGCGTCGGATATTTGCTTTTCGTCTTCTCAATTTCGTAAACAATAGTGATACCACGAGAAGGCAGTGAGTAGAACTTCCCTGTCAGAGGCTATATACGCGTGTCCATGTGAGAGCATTTGGAGAGGGAGAGCGGACTCTCCCCACTCTCAGTCGTACCAGGGC